CCTGGGGGGTGGGGACTGGCAAAGAGGGCAGGGCAGGGAAGGGAACTTTCAGTATGGACAGGATCCAGATGTTCCCACGTGTGCTCACAGTAACCAAGACAGCAGTACACCTGCTCAGGAAGCAACTGAGTTGAGAGCCAAAGCACTCTCATAGCACCCCTCCCCCATTCAAGGGAAAAGTGACTTGCAGCCTCCAGGGAGCCCAGACTGAGGGGCAAATACAGAAGCTAAACAGGCCTACAAGGCCAGCATGAGCTGCAGCAAGGTCAAGTCAACCGAGGAGAGCTTCTGTGCCCTGGCCAGGTCGGAAAAGACCAGCCCACACCAGTCACCAGCTCAGTGTGCAAACACCAGCAGGGTGTGCAGCAATCGGGATAAGAAATGTTGTTGGGAGACCAGAGGTGCCAGGGGACACGGCTCCAATACAAACAGCACTCGCCCTTCACTAAAGCAAAGTCACCTTGCCAGGTCGGGTCACAGGTGGTCGGTCACATTGCAGTCAGAGGGGCGGAGCTAATTGCTGGCAGTCAGCATCCATTCCAGCTGCTCTGTGCCTGTGCCAATTCAGTTGCTAAGGATTCTGAACACCTCTGGATAAAGTCACTCCTCCCCATCTACACCCAGATGCTACTGTGGGCAGAAACAGAGCGAAGGAGGGGGGACATCTGAGAAATCATCCACTTTACCCAAGGAGAGTTTTCATTATTGCACTAAAGTTTTAGGGTTAAATTAAGTCAGATCTCCCTCGCCCCAGCTAGTAGGGGCACATGAGGACATCAGAACAGTTACAGGCAAAATAAAGTAGTTACAGATTGCTTCAGATCCAGGAGTTGTATGCAGAAAATTCTATACCTGCTGTAGACATAAGGGTAATCTGCTTCTTCTACTATGTTTTTGTTAATCTATAAAACATGGGTTCTGCCGGCGCCGCAGCTCACTAGGCTAATCCTCCGCCTTGCGGCGCTGGCACAGAGGGTTCTAGTCCCGGTTGGGGCGCCGGATTCTGTCCCGATTGCTCCTCTTCCAGGCCAGCTCTCTGCTGTGGCCAGGGAGTGCAGTGGAGGATGGCCCAAGTGCTTGGGCCCTGCACCCCATGGGAGACCAGGAGAAGTACCTGGCTCTTGGCTTCGGATCAGCGCGGTGCACCGGCTGCAGCGGCCGTTGGGGGGTGAACCAACGGAAAAGGAAGACCTTTCTCTCTCTCTCTCTCTCTCACTGTCCACTCTGCCTGTCAAAAAAATTAAAAAAAAGAAAAAAAAAACATGGGTTCCCATTTCTTCGTACATGATTCAGGTGTAACTTTCCTATCAATTCAACATGATTAACAGAAGTTCTTCTCCTCTATTTAAACAGGGAAAAGGAGCTACATGAGATTATGTGTAAACCAAATTGTTTGGGGGTGGGAGGAAGACAGGCAATAGCAAAGATGCCACTTGAGAGGTTTGCATCCCTGGGTTCAAGTCCTGCCTCTGTTTCCTATCCAGCTCCCTGCTAACACACACCCTGGGAGACAGCAGGTGATGGGTCAAGCACCTAGGTTCTTGCCGTGCACATGGGAGACCCAGATGAAGTTCTTGGCTCCTGGATCCTGGCTTCTGCCTGGCCCAGCCCTGGCTGTTGTGCACATTTGGGAAGTGAATAAGTAGAGGGAAGATTTCTGTTTGTCTCCGTCTGTGTGCATTTAAAAGACATAAAAAGTAAGACTTTTTAAAAATTGCTCTGGAAAAAGCAAGATCTATACCAAAAAAGGACTATTGACCACCTGAGGTAGTTAAGTGGAACCAGATGGAAAACCAGCCCATAGCAACAGGGAGAAGCAATGGACTAGCTCAGAATCCCAAGAGGAAAGCTGCTTTTGAAACTGAATAACCCTCCTCCGAGAGATGAAGCTCCTGGGAGCCCCCACCACCTTTATTTCACAGGATCGTTTCAGGAATATTTGCTTAACTCAGTTCTGTCAGGCCCCTGTGCTAGAACATGGGAATACAACAGTAACCAAAAGACAGCAGTACACCTACCCTCATGAGTATTACCACTGCAGGAGACAGGGTGAAGGCCAGACCACGCAACAAATAAATAAGTAAAAAATAGGATTTAATGTTATGAACTATGTACAAGAAATGGAGCCAGTGAGTAGGCTGCAGTTTTGCTTCTTTTTTAAAGATTTATTTATTTTTTTATTTTTATTTTTTGACATGCAGAGTGGACAGTGAGAGAGAGAGACAGAGAGAAAGGTCTTCCTTTTGCCGTTGGTTCACCCTCCAATGGCCGCCGCGGCCGGCGCACTGCGCTGATCCGATGGCAGGAGCCAGGTACTTACCCTGGTCTCCCATGGGGTGCAGGGCCCAAGCACTTGGGCCATCCTCCACTGCACTCCATGGCCACAGCAGAGAGCTGGCCTGGAAGAGGGGCAACCGGGACAGAATCCGGCGCCCCAACCGGGACTAGAACCCGCTGTGCCAGCGCCGCAAGGCGGAGGATTAGCCTAGTGAGCCGCGGCGCTGGCCCTGAAGATTTATTTATTTATAAGTCAGAGTTAAACAGAAAGAGAAGGAGAGGCAGAGAGAGAGATGTGGAGAGAGGTCTTCCATCCTCTGGTTCACTCCCCAATTAGCCATAACAGATGGAGCTGCACTGATCCAAAGCCAGAAGCCAGGAGCTTCTTCCAGGTCTCCCACACGGGTGCAGGGGCCCAAGGACTTGGGCCATCTTCCACTGCCTTCCCAGGCCATAGCAGAGAGCTGGATCAGAAATGGAGCAGCTGGGACTCGAACTGGCACCCATATGGGATGCTGGCATTGCAGGCAGTGGCTTTACCTGCTACGCCACAGCATCGGCCCCTGGGCCACAGTTTTAAACAGAGTGGTCAGAAAAAAACTCAAGAAGAGGTTGACATTTGAGCACAACCCGGAGATGGGGAAGCAAGCCATGTAGCTTCCCGGAAGTGCTATCAGCAAAGGAAATCCGGCCTGGGATGAGCAAGGAGCAGCAAGGAGGGCAGGTGCAGGCTGAGGGAGAGGGGGGGCAGCAAGGAGGGCAGGTGCAGGCTGAGGGAGAGGGGGAGCAGCAGGAGACGGGGCCAGTGAGGCACAGGTTCAGGGTTGGGAGGAAACAGCGCACCATTTCGATCCAAGCAAGCTCTTCAGCTGCAAGTTCAGCTTCCCAGACCGCTCACTGCAGAGAAGCCACCAGAAAAACGCCCTTCCCCACACACTGCATAGGATTTTCAGCTTTTTTTTTTAAAGATTTATTTATTTATTTGAAAGTCAGAGTTACATAGAGAGAGGAGAGGCAGAGAGAGAGAGAGGTCTTCCATCCGGTGGTTCACTCCCCAATTGGCCACAACGGCCGGAGCTGTGCTGATCCAAAGCCAGGAGCCAGGAGCTTTTGCCAGGTCCCCCATGTGGGTGCAGGGGCCCAAGGACTTGGGCCATCTTCTACTGCTTTCCCAGGCCACAGCAGAGAATTAGATCGGAAGAGGGGCAGTCAGGTCTCGAACCAGCACCTATATGGGATGTCGGCGCTTCAGGCCAGGGCATTAACCCGTTGTGCCATAGCGCCAGCCCCTTCAGCTCTTTCTTAAGACACTCAGATTCTGTTAAGTCTTTTGAATTCTCAGTTAACCCCAGATCACTTCGAAACATTAACGTGAAGGAGAAAAGCCAGCCTGACACATTGGTACTTAATTTGGACAATATGACCAGCCACGCTTGAGCTAATTTGCCTGAAGAAACAGGGGTCCTAGCGGAGTGGCTCCAAGTTGCTACTAGAGAAGATGGGCAGGTACCTGGGAAGTGGCCAGGAAGCAGGACAGGACGGGAAGAGGAGAACACTGGGCCTTGGTTGTTACCATTCCAGCGTCCATTGTTGCTCCTCCCTGAGCTTCCCAACAGCTCTCAGTGTCCCTTTTCAAGGACAATACACTTCCAGGTAAACAGATTCCACCCTCAGCTCATGACCAAGGCCAAGCCAATCAAAGCGTCCATGCCCCCCTGGCTACAGAGATTTGTTCCAGGAGGGCCTGTGGATCTGACCAAGTCACAGAACACCAGGGCTCTGGGGGAAACGCTGGGACAAAGATGTTCTATCCCTGTGAATGGCAAAGCACATGACTCCAACATCCACTTCTTGTCTGGGAGGGATGTGTCTTCGTCTGTTTAATACCCGAGACTGGGCAGTTTATAAAGAACAGACGTGCAACTCTTACAGTTCCGGAGACCGGGAAGTCCACACCTGCTTGAGGGCCCTCTTGCTGGGTCACTGCATGGCAGAAGACTGAAGGTCAAGAACGGATGGGATGCAGGCATGTGAGAGGAAGAGAGGGAGGCGGTGAGGGAGGGGGAGAGAAGGAGAAGGGAAGGAGGCTGGAACCATCTTTTAACCAGGAACCCACCATGAAGGTAACTAACCCACTCCTGTGACAATGACATTGATCGGTTCATGAAGGCAGAGCCCTCGTGACCGCATCACCTCTTAAAGGTGCCGCCTCTCGACAGTGTTGTTTGGAGAGTAAGTTCAAAACACATAAACTTTGGGAGACAAAATTCAAGTCATCTCAGGCTGGAAGAGGAGGCAGAAGAAAACTATGGAAACCAGGACCATGACAGCACGGTGGATGGCTGCACCCCGAACTCCACCGACATGGGCTCTCTAACAGCCTTTTCCCTCTCAGCACTGTTGACAATGGGCTGGATAATTCTTTGTTGTGAGGGTGCGCTGTACATGGCAGGATGTTTACAAGCATCTTTGATCTCTACCCAGATGCCCGGAGCACCCCTTCCTGCGGGTGACAGTCAGAGACTCCAACCTGCACTGAGTCTCTGCTCTGTTTGGCTTCTTGTTTTGAAAGTACGTGGAGGCACCCTGGCCTCCAGAGACACATGATTCCCCCGCCTTCTCTTCCTCTGGCTGGCCAAGTATGGGGGCTCCGGAGAAGCTGAGATGCCAATCTGGAGATGGACTGCAGGCCAATCGGAGGAAGCAGTTGGTGTCCAGCCTGCCCGCCCCTCTCTCTTCCCAATCCTGGGGACAGTTGAGGCTCCACTCATCACAGCTTGGATCCCACCATAGCGGACCCAAGATAGGTGGCAAAGGGGATGTGCAAATCAGAACCAAGGACCAGTCCTGAAAATGAGGAGTCTTCGAAACCATGGGAAATGTATATCATGAAAAAACTATGCCTGGATTTCAGATACATTTTGCACCAAAACATCCTTTAATTCCATTTTCTCACAAATTTTTTGAAGTACCCTTGTCCAAGGCAAGGGGTAAACACAGCTTGGAGGGGGAGAAGGGCTGGGATTGGATGTGTACCTTGGGGAACAGTCTGCAGGACTGCCCCAAACAAAATCATCATGGGATGGCCTTTACCCCAATGGCAGGAAGCTGACTGGCTGTGTGCAGCCTAGCAGATACCCCTTCCAACTCAGAAATCCTGTTCCATTCGGGAGTTTTTCATCTTTTTTATACTAAAGACCCATTTTGGGAAGTCTCATGAAGCTTTTCTATTCTTTCTTTGGAAAAAGTTTTTAAATGTATAAAATAGAAATACACAAAAATAAAAAGCCAATTATATTGATATAGTTATCAAAATGTTTAAACACAAACATATACCTTCGCAATGTCTTTTTTATCGTGTCCAATGACACGATAGTTCTAGCAGCAGTTCTAAAACCCACTGTGACTTTAAAGTGGTGATGAATGTGAATTTGATCTCAAGAAAGCTGAAATATTCCCCGCATGACGTGAAAATAATGGTTTTTCCTATTTTGACAAAGTTACAAAAACTGCTCATGTCAAGTACAAGAGTTTACTTGTTTCCCTACATTTAGAGTGGTAGGAAGTATTCAACTTTAGTTGAGTGTAATTTCTTTTCCCATCCAAGTTCATGGCCCTCTATAAACCCACGTCAAGAATCATTTGTAAGGAAACCAGTGGTTCTCTGCCAGGAGTGACTTTGCCTCCCGGGGGAAGTTGGCAGTGTTCTAGAGACACATCCAGTGGTCACTCCTGGGGAGGGGTGCTGTTGGCTTCCAGTGGGCAAGGCCAAAGAGGCTGCTGACCTTCCCAGAACACAGTCTCCACAGCCAAGACTTACCCAGCCCCGAATGGGCACTGTGCGAGGCTGAGAAACCTTGAGCTTGAGGGAGAATGTTTGCTCCTAGAGAAGCTGAAGTCAGGATGGAGCAAGTTCTCCAAAGGAATTTGGGAAGTCTTTCCCTTGCCCAAAGCATACACCCCATCCTCAGGTAGCAAGAGAAAGCACACAATCCTCACCTTCGCCCAACAGTTGTCCGGAAGATCCCAGCGCAGCCACACAGATCAAGGCAGACACAGGAAAGAGCACGGGCACAAGGCAGGCAAAGGAGCAGCATGCGTTATTAAAGGAAAAGCAACAAACTGACAAAAAGACACTTAGTTCAATTGGGCTTTCTACCAGACTCTGATCAGAGAAGAATGAAGGCTCTCCTTTCCCCTCCTCAACCTGGGAGAGAGAGGAAGGGTTGTGATTCTCAACCAAACTTCCCAGGATGGAAGTGAATTGCTTGAGATTTAGACCCAATAAAGACGGTTCACCTGGATGGCCCAAAACCAGAGTGGGTGGAGGCAGGGCTCAGAGATGGGTTCCCAAAATGAGCAGATTTGGGAGCAAGGGCAGCTGACACGATGGATCATGACAAAGACAAAACTGAAGCCAAGCTCCCCTGATTCCTCTTCTTGGCCAGGCCCCTCCTGGAGCCTTCCCTGGCCTGGCTGTAGTCAGAATCGTGCTAAGTCAGTCTGGCAAGGATCTACTGGCCCTAGCTATCTGATCCAATTCCTCATCCCTCCCTCTTAATCACACAGTCCTTGGCCTGCCTCTAGTTAGCATCCTGCTAAGCCAGTTTGTTAAGAGTCTGCATACCCTTGTTATCTCCTCCTAGTACTTTTATATCACTGACTGCCCATCACTCCCCAACCCCAGCTATGTTTGCTCTATTCAGAGTTCAGCTCAATCCTTTTTTTATTTTAGTTACTTAGTTTTTATTTTTTATTAAAAAGGTGGGGGGACAGAGACAGAGGCACAGAGAGAGAAAGAGAGAGATCTCCCATTGTCTGGTTCATTCCCCAAATGCCTGCAACAGTTGGGGCTAGGCCAGGCCAAAGCCAGGGGCCAGGAACTTAATCCAAGTCTCCCACATGAGTGGCAGGGACGGAAACAGTTGAGCCACCACTTTCTTCTTCCCAGGCTTCATATCAGCAGTAAACTAGAATCAGAAGTGGAGCTGGGATTACAACCTGAGCCCTCTGAAATGGGCATCCCAAGCAATGTCTTAACTGCTTAGCCAAATGCCCACCACTGAGTTCAGCCTTTTTTCACTATTGCAATCATCTTGAACAAAACCTTCCTAACCATTTTAACACGGGGCAAAATAATTTCTGTTTACCAGTCAAGGCCCAAGTCCGTAGTCCCAAGATGTAAGAGGAGGCTGAAGCTTCAGGAAAATGGTCTCACAGAGAGCAGGAGCAGGCCTCCTGGGCCCACCCCCTTCAGCAGGGAGGGTGCTAGCAAGGGGCACCTCCACACCTCCCAGAGGCACAGGTGCAGCTGCATCCTGAAAGACAGGGAGAACAGAGCACACAGGGCCTAGGACAGCCCACCCTGCACACGAGTCCCCATCTCCATTTTCCACACAGCACAGAAATGATGCTGATAACAAAGAGGGAGGCAGGGAATTATATGGCAGCACACTTGATAAGCAAAACTGAATGTGGGACGTCTTGCCCTTTGGTCCTTTGGCAATTTTCATGGCCAACAGTAACAATTCCAACTCTTGTTGAGGACATAGAGCAACTGAAATTCCCATGCATTGCTGCAGGTTATATCTTTGCTGTATCTACTTCAGAACACTGTTTGGCACAGTTTACAAAAGTGAGACATACACAGACTGTTTGGCCCTGCAATTTCACTCCTGGACGTACACATATATACAGAAATACATATTTTCACCAAAAGACATGTAGAAAGTAGAAAGATGTTCATAGCAGTACTGGCCTTAATAGTTAAAATTGAAAATAACCCAAATATTCATCAAAATAAACCAGATAAATAATATGTGCAAAAATTATTCTATGTAAGACAATGCAGACCCTGGAATAAATGGCAAACAACTACATACAACATGGATCAGCACAAAAAATTATATACCATAATCGTCAATTTATAGAAAGTTCAAAAATAGCTTGGCTTGATTAGTGAATGAGAATGGCTTCTGCAGTTCTGAAATGTACGCTTTCTTGACCTGGCTCAATTACACAGATTTGCTCACTTTGCGAATGTTAACAAAGCTATGTACTCATGATTCATGTGTGTTTATGATTTTATGAACAAAGGTTTAAAACCAGGCCTGTACCTTTTTTCTCACAGACTTAGGCCATCCTGAGAAGATTTTTGGTTTGCCTTCTTGCAGCACAAACTCCTGGGAAATGCTTCAAGTTAAGATCAGCTTGGAATATTGGGAACCAGGGCCTGGAAAGCTAAAATCTGGGACAGCTGTAACTGCAGGTCTGCGTGACTGGTGGGAAACCAAGGCAGATACTTACTGCATCACGGTGAGCCCCACACACCATGGTCTCATCCCTAGCAGTTGTGCATACTCTAGGCAGGTGAGGAGGGACCCAAGGATTTTGTCTGCACACGGAGAGTTGGTTGGCTTCCCTGGAGACTGAAGGCTGTGGGATGCCCCCACCCCACATCAGAGTACCTGGGTTCCAGCCCCAGCTCTGGCTCCTGACTCCAGATTACTCTCAGTACAGATCCTGAGAGACAGTGGGGATGGCTCATGCAATTGGTTTCCTGTTCACCGACAGGAGCACCCAGATGGTGTTGCCAGCTCTCGGCCCCAACCCTGGCCTACCTCCCAGTAAACCAGCAGATGGGAGCTCTGTCTCTTGCTCTCACTCTTTCAAATTAAAAAATTAATAAATTTATAAGTTTACTAAGGAAAGTCTCCTATGGCTTTCTGGCCAAAAGGTTGTTTTCACTGATCTTATCTTCCATTTGGCCTCTAAAATTATTCCATTGTTTTAGGAGACTCCTCTCCCTCCTTTAAATTCCCAACTTTTCCTCTTTTAGGACTCTCTACAACCAATCTCTAATTCTCCTGTTCCTTCTTTAAAAAAAAAAAAGATTTATTTATTTATTTGAAAGGCAGAGTTATAGAAAGAGTAGAGTCAGAGAGACAGAGAGGTCTTCCATCTGCTGGTTCACTCCCCAAATGGCTGCAATGACCAAGGCTAGGCCAGGCTGAAGCCAGCAGCCAGGAGCTTCATCCAGGTCTTCCACATGGGTGCAGTGGCCCAAGTACTTGGGTCATCTGCTGCTGCTTTCCCAGGGACATTAGCATGAATCAAAAGAGGAGCATCCAGGATTCAAACCAGTGCTGCTATGGGATGCCAGCGTCACAGGCTGCAGCCTAACCCGCTACACCACAGAGCCTGCCTCTGCTGCTCACTTCTTCAGCAAAGCTATTTAAGCATTGCTGCATCCCACCTCAGACAACTCACAGAGACCTTTTATCAACAATTAATATTAAACCAGTTATAAAACATAGTCCCCTACCTCTTAAGGAAACTCCCCATGACTACACAGAGAATGGCACATCTCTGTCCACAGACACTCAAAATTCACACATTATCTGGAGTTTAGTTACCCAGGACATAGCTCCAGTGATCCTTGCTCCTGATTTGCTCTCCCCAACTCCCCTGAAGGGTGAAAACAAAAGCTCCCCACTGCCAACACATACTCCTAGCAGTGCCAGGTGCTGTCATGTGACCCCCAGCAATCACTTAACTCTGGCTGTGACTCTTCATATGTCCACAGTGACAGCAGATGCTCCATAGTCAACCCTGGGCTTTTCAGCGACTGGGGTTTGGGGGATTTTGTGGGTTTGTTGTTGTTGTTGTTTTGGTTTTGGCTTTTTCCTTTTGATGGAGAATGGGTACTGCCAAGCTTAGTAAAATGTGAAAGGGCATCTTACTGCACACGTGGATATAACGTGGTTTCCTGGATCATAACCTTAACCTCCCTGCCCTGAGCTTTGACTGTTTTAGTTTCGTGTCCTCTTACTTGAATTGGGTCTTGCTTGAATTGGGTCTCCCTAGTGGGAGTGTTCATCTCTCCTCAGGTTGGCAGGAGTAACAGGTGCAGGGGTATGATACCTTCTGCAAACATTTTGGAGCCTGTCACTGCATTATCAAGTCTCTTCTTATACCCAATGCTTTAGAAACAATGCACATAGGCTGGCGCCGTGGCTCACCAGGCTAATCCTCCACCTTGTGGTGCCGGCACACCGGGTTCTAGTCCCGGTCGGGGCGCCAGATTCTGTCCCGGTTGCCCCTCTTCCAGGCCAGCTCTATGCTGTGGCCAGGGAGTGCAATGGAGGATGGCCCAAGTACTTGGGCCCTGCACCCCATGGGAGACCAGGAGAAGTACCTGGCTCCTGCCATCGGATCAGCGCGGTGCGCCGGCCGCGGCGGCCATTGGAGGGTGACCCAACGGCAAAGGAAGACCTTTCTCTCTGTCTCTCTCACTGTCCACTCTGCCTGTCAAAAAAAAAGAAAAAAAGAAACAATGCACATCATGATCTTTAATTATCATTAATATTCAAAGATACGATTCTCAGAGTGGAAGAAATAGGGTTTAAAATTCACAATTACTATGGTGAATGCTTGGAATAGCAGTTCAGATGTTGCTTGGCATGCCAGCATTCCACAGTGGAGTGCCTGGATTCAAGTCTTGGTCTTTTGAATCCAGTTTTTTGCTAGTGTGCATATGGGAGGTAGCAAGTGATGGCCCAAGTACTAGGGTCCCTGCCATCCACATGGAAAACTCAGATGCAGTTCCTGACTCCTAGATTTGGCCCAGCCCAGGCCCAGTTATGGGAGCATTTGGGGATTGAGCCAGTAGGTGCAAGATCTCTCTTTCTCCCTCTCTCCTACCCCCTTTCAAATAAAGTGAAAATAATAAATAAAATTTTAAAAATATAATAAAAGTCACAACTATGGACAACTAGCAACTTAGTCTGCAGTGACGATCAGAAAGCATGGTCTCCAGAGCTGTGAGGCAGGGTGGGGCGATACCCAACGATGGGCTCCTGTTGTTAAATCTCAAGGTAACTACATTTCTGCTTTCTGAGATATCTTTCTTCCTGTATTACCTCTGAAGCACCCAGAATGCTGAAGATCAATTTCTAACATGCACATAAGCAGTGCATGAGAAACTAAGAGTCAGCTATGATGGCTGGTTATCTCATTTTGAATGCAAAATCCTGGACTTCAGAATAATGAACTTGGATGTCACATTTGGCTATTTTGTTTTTACCTCCTCTTTTGGAAAGAACAAGTCATCTCACAGAGAAGTGCAGAAGGCACTTACTATAAGGCTTCTTAGGTTGTCCAACCCCACGTGGGCAAAGAGTAAAACCTCAGATTTGAAATCAAGTCCTGAATTTCCCCAGCAATGGCTTCCACTGAAAATCGAAATGTCACCAGGATGTGTTCAAAAAGAGGACTCTGGCTAGGTCTCGTAACAGTGCTTAAAACTGGAATGCAAGAAACTGCCTGGAAAACAACCAGAGAGATGCAGAAACAGTTTGGTAAATAACACATGGGGAGATTAAAAACGACATTTCCAGAATGCTCACACTCATACAGTTTCTAAAGATGCATTTTCCATGAAGAGCTGCACGGCTCAGAAACATGAAATTCAGTAGAAAAGGCTCCTTCGTTCCACGAGTTGGCAGGATTTCTTTTCATCTCCTCTGCACGGCCCACCAGAGCAGTGACTGTCCCTCCTCTGCAGGAGAGAGACTTCTCAGCCTGGGGAAGGAGCAGGTTTCCACGGAGCCTCCAGGATTCTCAGCTGTGACCATGAACGGCAGCCTCGATGACGGCTTTCTCTCTCCCTTCTCCACACGCGGGATGGGAACGATACCACAGACGATGAAGAGTTCAGACATCTCTCCCACACATGGGGAAAAGCTATTGCCAGAATATTCTTAAATTTAAAAATGTTCGAAAAGCCTGTGACCTTTGCAAGACCTTTCCGAGAGATGGCAATTGTGAGGGAAGACATTTCCCCTCACGACCTACTCGGGGTGTCCTGGTGTGACAGTCTTTGCCGGCTGGCCCTCTGGGCTGGCGTTCCCTCGAGGGTCACCAGGTTTCGGCCATCTCTGTGAGGACCTGCAGCAGTTCAGCAAACGTAGGACGGCCTTCGGGTTTCTGGGAGAGGGAAATGGAGGGCGTCAGACCCGCGCAAGGCTCACTCAGACACCAGCTGCAGAACTCGTGGTGCAGACCTAGCTCTCTACAGAGGGAAGGGACAGATATCGTGGGGAGCCAGGGGGTGGGCATTTGGTCAAGCAGTTAGAACGCCAGTTAAGAGGCCAATTAAAAGACTCCTGTCCCACATCAGAGTACATGGGTTTGACTCCCAGCTCTGGCTCCTGACTCCAGCTACCTGCTGAGGCACATCCAGGAAAGCAGTGATGGTGGCTCAAGCAATTGCCACCCAAGTGAAAGACCTGGGGTGAGTTCACAGCTCTGGCCCCTACGCAACTCTATCTGCAGTCATTGTGGTACCTGGAGAGTGAGCTAACAGATGGCAGCAGTCTCTCTCTCTCTCTCTCTCTCTCTCTCTTTCTCTCTCTCTCTCTGTCATTAAAAAGAAAAAGATAACTTGGGGCACGCACAGTGGCATGAATGGCCATTGATCAAGGCATGAGTGTAAAAATGTAAGAGAGCACTGTAGAAATGAAATGGCTAGAGCTGCAAATACTAGCCACTGTGACCATTTACATTTAGATGAATTAAAACTGGATGTTTGGGGCCAGTGCTGTGGCGCAGTGGGCTAACGCCCTGGTCTGAAGCTCCGGCATCCCATATGGGCGCTGGTTCAAGTCCCAGCTGCCCCACTTCCGATCCAGCTCTCTGCTGCAGCCTGGGAAAGCAGTAGAAGATGGCCCAAGTCCTTGGGTCTCTGCACCCGTGTTGGAGACCCAGAAGAAGCTCCTGGCTCCTGGCTTCAGATCGGTGTAGATCCGGCTGTTGCAGCCATTGGGGAGTGAACCATTGGATGGAAGACCTCTCTCTCTCTGCCTCTCCTTCTCTCTGTTTAACTCTGACTTTCAAATAAATAAATCTTTAAAAAAAAACTGGATGTTTAAATTTAGTCCTTTACTCATACTAGGCACTGCTTAAGCCCTCCACAGCTATGTTGCACAGCACAGATACAGAACATTTCCAGCATCACAGAAAGTCTCAGGCCCAGCCCCAGCCTGCAGATCTACCTGGAAGACCTGAGTTGCTGGGAGTGAGGGCTGAGCGAGGCTCCCAAGCTCAGCTGTAGTTATTCGCTACACCTGATAACTTCTAGAAGGGATTCTAGTCAGTAAGCAAATGAAATGAGGGACTTTGTCAATCTAGGGCACGGGCTGTGCTGTTCTTCAGGCTCAGTCAACAAAACTCCTGGCCAGGACGTCAGGAGTATTTGTCTCTTTCACTGGATGAAATTCAGCTGTAACGTCATGAGGAGGCCGCTGTTGGCATCTGCGAAACCTGCGAGAAATAGAGCTACTCGCATGAGCCACACGCTCACGGAGCTGGGAGCAGGAGGAGACACCACCGCTGGCAGCTTATGCACAGGGAGTGTCAATGAAAAGGGCAGAGCAGAGGACCAAAGCACTCCTTGAGACTGCCAGCAAAAATTGTGGTGTTTCTCAAGGAGGCTGAGTTTCTGCAGGCAGATCCATGGAAGGTGTTTACCCACGGTAACATAACCGCATTTTTTTATTTTTTATTTATTTTTTTATTTTTTGACAGGCAGAGTGGACAGTGAGAGAGAGAGGCAGAGAGAAAGGTCTTCCTTTGCCGTTGGTTCACCCTCCAATGGCCGCCGCGGCCGGCGCACTGCGGCTGGCGCACTGCGCCTATCCAAAGGCAGGAGCCAGGTGCTTCTCCTGGTCTCCCATGTGGGTGCAGGGCCCAAGCACTTGGGCCATCCTCCACTGCACTCCCGGGCCACAGCAGAGAGCTGGCCTGGAAGAGGGGCCACCGGGACAGAATCTGGCGCCCCGACCGGGACTAGAACCCGGGGTGCCGGCGCCGCAAGGCAGAGGATTAGCCTAGTGAGCCGTGGCGCCAGCCCATAACCGCATTTGAATCTAGACTCACCAGAGTAAGCAGCTGGACCAAGGTCACAGGCAAAAATCAACTTTTGCAAACAAACAACTCAACAGAACCAAGATATTGTTTTAATCAATGTCCTGACTGCAATTTGAGCCTAATGTTGTGTACTGGGTCCTCTGTCAGCAACCTGTTTGCCCCTTCCCTTCTCTGTCTCCTCTCTACACTTAAAATCTCAGGGAGTCTTCTATTCCATGCACACGGACATGCATATTGTTTCAGACAAAATATATATCCCTCTATTGTTATATGAGTCATCTACATTGTTATGACCAAGATAACTTAAGGTGTCCACTAGGAACACCTTACTTGGCATTTTTCTGTATCTTTTAAGATTCTTTGTGGAGCAGTTCAGGTGTAAAATGTTTCTAAGACATACAGGGTTTTTATAAGTTTAACACTTCTCTGGAATGTGACCAAGCCTGTCACTTTGCAAATATTGAATTTTCCAGTGCTTGGTGATTGCAAATCAAGTGATTTTTTTCCCCCCAGCCAAAAGGAAACTCCCCGTGAAGCTATGGTTTTTCTGGGCTAAGACTGGCAGCTGGAAACACAGGTGCTGTCCAAACCAGAGGGGAGTCTGATAAGAGCCGAGGAATGGGTTGGGTCAGTGCCCAAAAAAGGCAGAGGTGGGACAGAAACTCCTTGGGCTTTGTTTCTAAAGTTGGCGTTTCAACAAAGAGCAGCTGGACTCTGGAGAGAGGATTTCCTGAATGCAAGTTCCTGACACACTTTCTGCCTTCATTCCTGCTCTGGTTTAATCCATCAGGAGTCGTGAGTGCCACAAAAGAGACAAAACCCATTACTCTTTGGCTTGGAAGAACAAGGCAAATAGAAGTAAGGGAAAGTAAATAAAAACACCACCTATCTTTTTTAATGGGGAAATGTGTCAACACCAAACTACCTTTAGTTTTCACTGATCAATTCTGAAAGTAACAGGACTTAAAATCACCAAGGCCCTAGTAGCATCAAGAGGTTCTGCAAGAACCAATCCCAGACACATGAGACTTGGAGAGTGCACTGAATTCCTCAGATGAAAGGCCATTGTTAAAAACTAAATGGATTACTGTTAGAAACAGTACCTCTGGCTCTCAGGGTCCTTCCCACGAAATAGACACCCTTTCCTATAGAGTCCCAGGGTGACATTTTGATAATCAGGCCTGCTCTTGATTGTCGGACTGCCAACCTTTACAGGAGAGGGGGGACACGTACCTCATGCCAACAGCTGTACATGACTTCATATACAGACACCGGTGCCAAGTAGGGGCGATACAGCCTGAAGCCTTTAGAAATGGCTTCCACGACTTGCAAATTTGATTTATTTTCAAAAGGCATCTTCCCTTCAGTGAAAACTTCCCACATTAAAACTCCTGTAAATGAAATATACAAAAACAAAAGAGAAAAAGAGTTGCTTGGAATTGGAAGAACTGTTTCCAGCTACAAGGCATTATTTTCCTCCTCCAGCATTTGTGCTAGAATCATTGAGGAGGAGAGCAGCTCTCTCTAGGAAGCAGACCACGTGTGCCTCAGTTTTGAAGAGGCCTGCGAGTTGAAAACACATTGGGAGAAAATGCTGGCAGTCTTTTCATTTCTAAATACTGCTCGTGTATGAAAACCAATGAATCTTTCTGCTATTCCATAAAAAATGACAGCATTGTGTGAGCCTGTGCTGCCTGCTAAAGCCAAGGTGGTGACACGTGTTCCCCTCCTTCCGCTGAAAGATGAGGCTGCTGGGTAGGTCCCCAGCACATCTACCAGGGGCTCTGGACATAAGAAAAAGATGTAGCCTCTACTGTGGAATAGTCCACATATATGGGTGATAACACAGCAAATAATTATAAGAATTCTATGACCTATTAAAAGTGTGAGCAAAGTTCAAAAAAAAAGTGTTCAATAATGATTGATTGATCGATTGGTAAAACTCCTTCAAGAGCTTAAGTTCACTTAATTATTCACTTATATTCTACAAATATTAATTGGGTATTTATTAGAGGCCAAGCCTATGCTAGGATCAGAGCGTTTTGTAGGAACAAGGCCAAATCCAGCGCAGAAGAGGGATAGTTGTCAGCTAAAACTCAGAGTTCTAATGGTTCTACAACTAGTCGACGAGGTGCTAGTGGAGCCATCCATCGCTCTCCGAGATGTGGTTTCCCAGCCTCACTGCTCTCCAGCAGCACTCAAAATGTCATCTGTTGAGACTACCAAAGCCAGTGGAGAACTAATGAGATCAACGATATAAGCTTCACCGTACTGTGGACAACCAAATTCATACCCTTCTAAGGGCCCAGGTGTCTCTGCAACCCAAAAGCCATCAGGAAAGTCTGAATGAGAGAGAATAGATACATAATAGATACACTTCTGCGTATTTTTGAAAATCAACCTGAGGAATCAACTCTACTGGACACGAGTCTACAGTGTCCCTTTCCCAACAAAGGATGTCATCCAGTGTAAGGGTCAGTAGAAAGATCCCAAGAAAGGCCTAGTCTAGGGACCACAAATTCTGAAGGTAATGAAGGAAAACGAGGTGGTGCCATTTTTAAAATCAGTTGTCAGCTGAAGAGTTGAAAAAGAATGGAACTGCTGAGTAGTTACATCACACAAAGAAGTCAGTTACAACCAAACTTCAATGACTCTGTAGGGTCATTTTTCTTTCACGCCTGTGTGGTGTGGAAAAGCTGGCTGGGTTTGTTTTCTAGGTCAGTAGATTCTTGGTTTGACTTTACAGCAAGTGCTCATGGGGAAAGGGAAAGATCCAAAAGGCAGGATTACATAAGGTGCGTGACAACAGTTGCCAAAGACAATGTGGAAGAGGTTACTACAGGTAAGAAAGAAACACAGCTACAAGAAGGCTTTTTTAAAAAATGTTACATGATATTGAGAAATCAGAGATTAAAAAAAGAAAAAAAGAATGATGGCTCATTTTGTTAGCTCAAAGCCCATCCAATCCAATAAACTCACCAAATGACCAGACGTCAGATTTACTGCTGTACTTGTTGAAATGAAAAACTTCAGGGGGGGACCACTTGATTGGGAACTTGGCTCCAGAAGAACTGATATATTCGTCGTCCAAAACGTACCTATGGTCATAAGATTCAAAGCAAGTGCTGTTCATTTCCTCCAAGTTTGATTTACTTCTAATCCCTTCATTAACTCAGAGCTTTTAAAAGACAAAGTGTCTTAGCCCAGAAAGTGTCTGTATTCCTTCTCTTCTTGGTAACACTGTCTAAAAGTAATCCTGATTTTCCTTCCCAAAACAAGTCTCAGTTGTGTTTATTTTCTTTGGCCCTCAGAAACTCATTACAAGTATTAAGCATAAAACAGTTGTTGTTAGTTATGAGCTATTCTTAACTCTGCAAAGAAGCATGTTGAATGTTCTATCAACCAAGGTAAATAAAAAGGGAATAAAAGATAAACAGAATCGTTCTGTGTTTAAATGTGTCCTCTTTTAGGTTCCAAAGACTTCTTTTTCTCTGACCTCTGTTGTATCAATATTTTGGGACAGTTTTGTAAGTAGATAAAGCCAATAATGGACTACCGGTTCCAACTGAGATAAAGTATGGTTATTTCAGGTTACTAAGAGCAGGAAGTAATTCTAATTAATTTATGCTAATTTTTAAAAACAGCTAAAGATTTTAAGAAGTTTTATTGTTCTATCTTGTATGTTATGTGTGTACATAATGTATATCTACAAGGGAAAATTTATTGAGAGCTCTGTTTTAATTGGCTTATTGATAAAAAATTGCTCAAATTTAAACTGCTAAATTAACCAAAGATATATTTTTTGATTCATGGACCTGGATCTCTGTACCAGATGTTTTAAATTTGTTGGTAGAAAGAAACTAAAAATGTTTAAGTCATTGACATGTTTATACTTGGGCTTGCTGGTCAAACAAGTTACATTTGGGTTAGATATTTAAGTGATGTTTCCAAATACATGTACTCTTGTCTTGGAATTTATAGAAGGCATTGGACTTTTTGGTAAATGTTTTCATAGTTGTATTTAAGTTAAAATTGTTTGCTAAGTTTTCATTCGATATTAAGTTATTGACAGCAATCTGGGAAGCTTGACTTGTTCCCTCATTTCTCTATTCTCTACAAGATGAGAAACTGACTCTATTCTGAAGGACTCTCCAGGATGTACAGTTTGATCTTTAGACGTTATAAAAGAGATAGCTAACATTTTTCTGTAATAATAGCATAGCCAAAATGAGAGCTTAAATTATAATTTCACAGCTAGATTTACTTTACCATAGGCATAGTAAACAGGAAAAACCTCCCTTTTCAAACAAAGGGAGAGAGTTTCACTAATGACTTCAAATTTTCTAGAGAAGATGGTCATCATGTTTGATGTTAGAGTGAGCACATATCTTTCCTCATGGGCATTGTCTAATCAGAACATGCCTGTGACTATAGACCTCTAGCTTAGGCCACCAAAGATTAGAAATGGGACTGAGCACCCCCTTGACTTGCATCCTCTTAAGGGTTTCCTCTGGTCTGCTTTAATAGAAACCAGGAGGAAGAGAAAGCTAGGCAGCAGGTGCAATGTAAAGATAGGTGGCAGCCAATCAATGACTGCTTTACATAGTGACCTGCCATCAAAGAGACCTAACAGGCCCAAGCAACTGCAAATGGCACTGGTTTTAAATGTGGAAAGCCAGCACTTTGGATGGATTGCAGGAGTCAGCTTTTGGAGAGCCCTGGCAGCTCTGCTAGCCAAGAGTCGCGTCACTGGAAATGGAACGGCCCTGGAGTCAAAGGACTCCCAGGTCAGAGCTGCAGATCTTGTTGGCTCTAAACTGGTAACTCCTTCACTCCACCCAGCTTCCAAAGTAACTACCACTGTTGAGGGGACGGCCAAGTAGGGTCTGCAACATTGAAGGCAGAACTCTAAGTTTCCTTTTAGAGATGCCACCTGCCTTCGATTCAGGCCAGCTCTCCTCCCAGACCAGCTAGGTAATGGAAGTCAATAGTGGGCCTTCCCTAAGGAGGTTCACATCTCCCTTATGTCTCTTCCAGTACCCCATGTGAAGAGATAGGTCTGGACCTCATATATACTTGGCCAGGACTTATAGCCCACCTGATTATCATCAGGCCCTTCTGTCAGTTTCTATTTGCCTCTCAATGAGAAAACTTGCTCATGGTTTAGACAACACTTTTCTTAGGTCCTCTAATCATGACTCTGTCCTTTGTTTTAGACCCTGTGAGTTAAAGTGCTTGTTAGATTCATTTTCTCCAGACTTAAAACAGTGAAATTCTAGATGGCCATGCACAGGAAGCCTCCGAGGGAAGCAGCTCTGCAAGCTGGCACTGCGTCTCCCTCGAGAAGCCACTTCCTGCTGGAACCCCGTCTTGACTGTCAGTCCTAATGATGCCCCTTTTTAGAATAAAGCAGACAGAGTGGTCATTGCCCAGTTCCCCTAATAGAAGTTAGAGTCCATTCTTCTGGCGGGGGGGGGGGGGGTGGAATGTGAGGACCCAGATGGGTTAATAGGCACTCAGGGTAGTCCCAGTGGAAATTGAGGGTGGAAAATGTTTCTCCCAAAAGTTATCTTTAGCAAGGTCAAAAGTGCCTGTCTGCCACTCCTAGGGAGCTTCTAATCTTATCATGGGCATAGCAAGGGCCTGATGACTCTAGCCTTCTGAGCTCCAAGTTCACTGCAAAGTAAATTAGGAATCCAACCCTTCTGATGGCTCTTTGTTTTATCATGAGAAAGCAAAACAGGATAAAGGATTGCAAATCAGGTCTTTTGATGGGGTTTGTCCCCACCTGGTAACTGAATGTCAAACTGAAGTTTTTTCTTTCCCAAAATTCTGCTTAAAAACCCCACTACTACCAGCCCTTTGGGGTTTTGCCTCTCTTTGGAGCCTCCCTCCGTGCCACTGTGACTGGAGGTCTTTGACTCTAATAAATCTTGCTTTCAGTGGAAAGAACAGGTCTTCAAAGAAGGAGGTACCTTTCTCTGAAGGAAGGAGAGAACCTCCACTTTGACTATGACCTTGTCTAAACAAGATAAGAGTCAGAGAACTCAAAAGGCTTCCATAGCCTTGGAAACTCATGACTGGTGCATAGGGAGATTACTGATGCCATAAACAGGAGTGTCAATTTGTAAAGTCAACAACAGGAGTCACTGTGCACTTACTCCTCATGTAGGATCTCTGTCCTTAATGTGCTGTACACTGAGGCTTAATGCTATAACGAGTACTCAAACAGTATATTTCACTTTGTGTTTCTATGGGGGTGCAAACGATTGAAATCTTTACTTAATGTATACTAAACTGATCTTCTGTAATAAAAGAAAAAAAGAGAGAGAGAGAATTATCATTCCCAACTTGACTCTCACTGGGATTAAACATGACAATAGGTCTGATCTGATTTCATCATCATTTAAATAATCATCTATTATTTTTCACTTTATGTTTCTGTGTGGGAGCAAACTGTTGAAATCTTTACTTAATGTATGCTAAACTGATCTTCTGTATATAAAGAGAATCGAAAATGAATCCTCATGTGAATGGAAGGGGAGAGGGAGTGGGAAAGGGGAGGGTTGCGGGTGGGACGTTATGGGGGGGAAGCCATTGTAATCCATAAGCCGTACTTTGGAAATTTATATTCATTAAATAAAAGTAAAAAAAAATCTACAAAAAGAGAAAAAAGGGGGGGGAGGGACAGGTGGCACAGCAGATAAAGCTGCCACCTGCAGTGCTGGCATCCCATATTGGCACTGATCCGAGACCCGGCTGTTCCACTTCCGATCCAGCTCTCTGCTATGGTCTGGGGAAGCAGTAGAAGGTGGCCCAAGTCCTTGGACCCCTGCACTTGTGTGGGAAACCCAGAAGAAGCTCCTGGCTCCTGGCTTCGGATCGGCTCAGCTCTGGCTGTTGAGGCCAATTGGGGAGTGAACCAGCGGATGGAAGACCCCTCTCTCTCTCTCTATCTCTCTCTGCCTTTCCTTCTCTCTCTGTGTAACTCTGACTTTCAAATAAATAAATAAATCTTTCCAAAAAAAAAAGATAAACAGGGGCTGGTGCTGTGGCGTAGTGGGTAAAGTTGCTGCCTGCAGTGCCAGCGACCCATGTGGGCACCAGTTCGAGACCTGGATGCTGCACTTCCGATCCAGCTCTCTGCTATGGCCTGGGAAAGCAGTAGAAGACGGCCCATGTCCTTGGGCCCCTGCAAGAAGACCTGGACCTGGAAGCAGCTCCTGGCTCCTGGCTTCCAACTGGCACAGCTCTGGCCATTGTGGCCATCTGGGGAGTGAACCATCAGATGGAAGACCTCTCTCTCTGCTTCTCCTTTCTCTGTGTAACTGTAACTTTCAAATAAAATAAATAAATCTTTAAAAAAAAAGATAAATAAAAAACCATTAATCTCATAATGTAAAACAATAAATGCAAAGTTGGATTACGTATGTCCTTTCATGTATGTATTTTTGTGTCTCATACAAGGGGGAAAATAAAACTACATGAAATTTTCCTTTGATATGAGAAATATCTAATTAGACTGGATCCATATGGATGGAACAAAGACATAGCCTCAGCCATTCTCACTCATTGCCTAAAAGATAAACATTGCAATTTATTCCTTGCCCTTGAATGTCAATTGGGTCCCACACCCTATTGCCTTTACACCCCACCCTCGCATTCTTCACCAGTTTCGGAGGCCCCTTGGGGCCACCTGAAAGACCAGTTGCTCAGCCACCTGAAAGACCAGTTCAGAGGAATTCATCTGCGCCTGCTGCTCCCTACACCCACCCCCACGTCTAGCCCTCCTAAGACATACAAAGGCTGGGCGCTGGGGTCAGGGCCTCCTGCCACATGTTCTGTCAATGTGCTCACCGGCAGCTGGTCACCCACCTCTTCAAATTTATTTTCTCTGAATCAATTCAGTCTGGCTGTAGAGTCTCATTCTGCCTCCTCTCTGTTCTATGCCTCTTTCCCTAACACATGTGGAAACAAATCCGGAACAAATACCATCTCCTTAAAAAAATATTACACCCCTCTATCTTTTCAGAACTGCATGTGGAATATCCAAGTGAGGGACTCTGGAGAGGAGACAACAACGAGCTTGCTGTCTCTGGAGTACATGACGTCGTATTTCTCAATTATTTATTAACGCCACCCCAAAGCTCCCACTTCATTTTCATACACTCCATCTCACTCCACTGTGGGTCAGCATTCATTCTACTCAGGTGAAGGATGAACTCAAAATGGAAACCACAATTAATAACAGAAACATATGTCTAAACGTCCTAAACAGCACTCGGCCTCAGCATCAGCCCTTCAGGCATTTGGATCTAAGCCCATGAGAGCATTTAAGGCATGGAAAGCCAAGGCATGGTGGCAAAAAATGACCTACAGGAAAGATCTCTGTGAGTGAGATCCCAGTGGAAAGAGGGGCCATCAAAGGAGGTACCTTTCTCTGACGGGAGGAGAGAACTTCCACTTTGCTTATGGCCTTGTCTAAATACTGACAGTTTGTGGACTCAAAAGGCTTTCATAGCCTTGGCAGCTCATGACAAGAACCTCAAGTGATCACTGATGTCGTAAATAAGAGGTTCGATTTTTAAATCAACAACAGGAATCACTGCACACTTGCTTCACATGTACGACCTCTGTCCTTAATGAGTTGTTCTAAATAAAAGCTCCAGTATTGGGAATTGCTGATGACAGGATTCTGTGGAATTTGAATTCCAAGATTTGGATTCCAAACTTTTGTATATAGCTTAAAAGAGGCCCTGACGCAGACTCCGTTCTGAAAAGGGTAGCTACAAGAGTTATGGATTCCAGGATCCGGATTCTAAGCCTTGTGTCTGCTTAAAAGCCTCTGAAACAGACACTGTGCTGGACAGGGGAACTGCAAAGGTGTTCCAAGGAATCAAGGAGTTTTTAACAAAAACTCCAGCATTAGAAATACCTGAGCAAGCCATTCGTAAGAAGATCCTCTTCTGATCAGTTTCAGCATAAATTAAAGGGACCTTACCAGGTGCTATTGAGCACGGCTACCTCCGTGAAATTAAGATTAAACTTCTACTTCTTAAGTCTTCACAGGTGAATGCGAAAGACATGCCTGATTATTCCTATAAGCCAATCAGAAACCTTAAGTACTTCAAAGCAAAAAGGATAAGTAAAAGTTTTGCCTTTGTCTCCTTAAGGCAAACATGCTGTACCTGCCTTTCTTGATTATCTCCGGGAACTGTTATTGATGATAAAGCCACCTGATGATTTCTGTTATAATTCTCTATACTCAAAATAAATGAGTTTATAATCTACATATCATTACCTACTATCTGGGAATCTGTAAGATATGTTGTTTACATCTAAAGGGGCACCCCACTTACAATTGGTTTTGTTCCAGTTTTGCTTAAACTAATTAACAATTTAGATGTTTCAGAACTCCACTTCTGGGAGTAACTGACCACGCAGGGGACACAGACGTTGGCAATGATGGATACTGCTCCAGCACACAAAGCAAATTTGTTAGGATTAGACAGAGACTTGTAGACCCTGGATAGACAGGGCTGCACTACACCCCTCATAAGCAGGAAGCAGTTACAGAAGAGATGATTCGACGTCCATCTACTCCCCTTAGGATTAAGGGGATGGAGTCTCTGAGGGGGGAATGAAGTAGGCAGGCATACAGGTTAAAATTGTTAAAATTTGTGAACTGGAAGACCATGCCTTTGCCACACCCCTGTGTGACCTCATGCCCCTACCTGATACCTTTGCCACACCCCTGTGTGGCCTCATCCTCCTACCTGGCCACACCTGGGTGCCCACCAGCCAATCAGGCTAATTAACCACACCCCCTTGGAAATGGGTTAAAAGCCAGGACTCGGTGTGGCCCCGCCCCTCTCTTCTTCCCTGGCCTCTTGCCAGGAGGGGGCTTGCTGTAGCCCCGTGCCTCCAGGCCTCCAGGGCGCGTGGCCTTTGGGCCATGTGCTCTAGGCTTCCTGGCCCAGATACAGGCCTAGATGCTCTTCCACGTGGCTGGTTCCTGGTGCTCGGTATGAACCCCTATTCACCTCTCTTAAATAAAGCTCTCACTCTCCTATGCATCTTTCTCACTAAATGAAAGCCTAAAATGTACCATGCTGCCTCGTTTATCTGTGCGGTATTTAGAATTCTTCTCTAAATAATAGGCAAGAACCCTCTCAGGCTTATTAATATTGGGGATTTAGTAATAAGCCCGTGGTGAAATCATATGCCAACCCAAATTCCGGTAGCACATGTGGCACTCCAGATAGCATTTCCAGGGAACTTTAAGGGGCCACATTTTAGTGTAAATTTTAGGATGTCTTCTCCTATTTCAAGTTGTACTATGCGAATTAATGGTAAAACGTGTCTTCAAACAGTACTTTATAATTTGTGTGCCTGCATGGGTGCAAACTGTTCAAATCTTTACTTAGTATAGAGTTGGTCTTCTGTATATAAAGATAATTAAAAATGAATCTTAATGAAGAATGGGGTAGGAGAGGGAGTAGCAGGTGGGGGACAGGAGTGAGGGTGGGAGGGCAAGTATGGGGGAAAGAACTGCTATATTCCAAAAGCTGTACCTATGAAATTTATATTTATTAAATAAAAGCGGGCTAAAAAATGTCTAGACATTTCACATTGTTTAATTGTAGACTTAAAATCAACTACTAATCAACTACTAACTTAATATCAACTACTTAATGAAAACTGTTTGACAATGACAAAAAAATCAGAGCTGGAAAAAAAAACAATTTAACGTATTCCCTTTTCTTTCAAAAATATACATTTACCAGGAAATATTTCTCCTTAATTTTATACATATGAGAAGGCCCAGAAATTCCCTTTTCAATTTAAAAATGTATCATGGTTTTGTTGACCTTGTAATGATCTGAAGGAAGATGCGAGGATTAACTCACAGTAAACACCTTGAGCTAAAATTGCTGTATGTCCTAAAATTCAAAGAGCATCAGTCAGCAGGCCATGTGACCGGACCAACACTTCCATTAGAGGAAAAAAGCAAAGCTAGTAGAATTTTCAGTCTGTCGGTAAACAAATGTAAGATTCCCCCAGGAGTAAACATTCTAAATACACATATTGTATGTACCTTGTCATCCCAAAGTCTGAGATCTTCACAATACAGGTAGAGCTGACCAGACAATTTCTTGCCGCCTGCAGAAAGAAGAAAAGACTCCAAGTTTGAATGTAAATTTTTCCTTCAGGGGTTTCTATTCTCCTTTTCCTTGGTTTATTTGGGCTCCACATCGCCTCTCTGTGTGAGCAGCCAAGTTATTTTCATGGTGGTACCCAACAGTGGTGTACATGACTCAACAGCCTGCTCTCACACAATGGATTTTAATGATTCTTCAAAGCAATTTTTAAAAATTAGAAAAAATTATAACACCTTTACTTTTTAAAATGTGTACTCCCCCTCAAGAAGTATCCTTGATAAATTACAGGACTGATTTATTCTAAGAGATGTTCAGCTTTGAGTCTCAGCACTAAATAGTTTTATGTTTTATTTATCTTGATAAACAAAAGATGAAAATTTAATTTACATGACAGTCATTTCATATGTTGGTGATCTCTAAAAGATGATAAAAATTGAGATTTTTTTTTTTTTTTTTTGGACAGGCAGAGTGGATAGTGAGAGAGAGAGACAGAGAGAAAGGTCTTCCTTTGCCGTTGGTTCACCTTCCAATGGCTGCCGCAGCCAGTGCGCTGCGGTCGGCGCACCGCGCTGATCTGCTGGCAGGAGCCAGGTACTTATCCTGGTCTCCCATGTGGGTGCAGGGCACAAGTACTTGGGCCATCCTCCACTGCACTCCCGGGCCACAGCAGAGAGCTGGCCTGGAAGAGGGGCAACTGGGACAGAATCTGGCGCCCCGACTGGGACTACAACCTGGTGTGCCAGCGCCGCTAGGCGGAGGATTAGCCTATTGAGCCACGGCGCCAGCCGAGATATTTTAAGATGTAAATTTCACTGAGTATATCTATTTGTAGTGATAATTTCATACTTCTTCAAATCACTCCAGTGAACCAAACATGGTTCTATATAACGCAGAGACAACCCATTTGATGCCAAAACCATCTTTTTCAGCAACTGAAGAAAATCATTTGGCCTTGTGCCTCATGCAGCTGAAGTCTGATAGAATTTCTCACTTCAGCTACAAGACTCAGTCTAGTAACAAAATCCAGAATCGTGAAATGATAAGCCAGAGAAGCCGGTTTGGAAGTTGCCAACAAGTACCAGCAATGGCCTCCAAGCCAAACCACCAGAACAAGAATCTTTGTTAGCTGATAGGGTCACTCTGGTTGTGTGTGATGGACACATGCGATTGCTTCCAGGTGACGACATTTGCGATTGCTCATGGAATCCTCATTCTCATTTGAGTGAATTTTTAGATTTAGAAAAGAGACATGAATATCATGAATAAACATGGAATGGACAGAAAGTATCCCTCAGGGAGGTAGCAACACAGGGAAGCAATGCTGTCAGCATTTTGTTGGGACAAAACAATTTTTTTAAATGGGAATATTTGGGGCCAGCACTGTGGCGCAGTGGGTTAACGCCCTGGCCTGAAGCACTGGCATCCCATATGGGTGCCGGTTTGAGACCTGGCTGCTCCTCTTCTGATCCAGCTCTCTGCTGTGGCCTGGGAAGGCAGTAGAAGATGGCCCAAGTCCTTGGGCCCCTGTGTGGGGAGCAACTCGGACTAGACTAAGTTACTGGAATTAGGACTTATTCTATGCATCTGCTCTCCCACAATATGGCGCTGAGAAGGGAGAAACAGCTTCTACACAGCTGCCTCCAGTTCAACCAATAAACAGCAGGACCTACTCCTGATTGGAGGAGAGCAGCGTACTCAGCGTGTGGGTAGCAGAGTTGGGATTGGTGGAAGAGGACTATAAAGGAGGAGAGAGACAACATGCACCAGGAACATCTAAGGGGAACATCTATCTGAAGGAACACCTGTGCAGCCCCCGAGACAGCCGGCCGGCGGTGTGCTGCTCCCCTGCGGAAGTGGGGAAAGCGGCTAGGGGGAACCGCCCTTCCACGGAGGTGGAAGGGACAGTAGCCAACCCGGGAAGAAACAGCAGCAAACCCGGGAAGGGCCGAGCAGACAAAAGAACAGCGCAGGGTCCTGTGTCGTTCCTCCACGAAGACGGGGAGCGACATAATGGTGCCGTGACTCGGATAGGAAACCTAGGAGGGAAGAAACGGGAAGAAGTGGGAAAATACCGGAGAGAGAGACTAGCAAAGAGCCTAGGGAAAAGCCGGACGAAAAAGGTGCCGGAAGAAGCTATCAAAAGCCTGGGCATAGACTCAGATACGAACTACGGGGGGAAGCTGGGAGAAATCTCTAAGGTCGAAAGTGAAAGTGAAAGCTAGAACAAACAGACTCGGATACGGACTGTGAGGAGAAGCCAGGAGAAATGAGGGAGGAATATTGTTGGAAGAAAACTTAGGGAAACATACCGGGTAGAGAAAAATGTTAGGGAAATTGAAGCTGCGGGGGCAGGCCGAGGCGGAAACGTAAGCCAGCTTGGAATTCTTTAAGTCAGCCCGGGGAGCAAAAGGCGAAAAGTTAAACCAGAGGCGGAAACGTGGGCCAGGTTGGAATCCGTTAGATTAGCCCGGGGAGCAAAAGGCGGGAAGCCAAACCATAAGGCGGAGACGCGTAAGCTAGGTTGAATTCGCCAGGTTAGCCCGGGGAACTTAGATTGAATACCGGTGGCGGAAACGTGAGCTACGCTGTGTGACTCGCGGAAGCCGCCGCGTGCAGAGAGAGCGCGCGGGGCGTGAATAGATAGGGAACATGGGGCTAGCTCAAGGCCGTGGTGCGGGCGCGAAGGGGCGCGGAGACCGCGGAGTGCGCGCACCAAGCCGGGAAGCCGCGCAGATGAGAGAAGCACTGGCTGAAGCGGCTCAGAGCCGGGAAGCTGCCGAGAAGGAGCCTCGGGGCGGGCGCCGGGATGCCGCAGGGATAAGAGAAACAGAAGTTTAGAAGTAAAATGAGAGAAATAGGAATGCTGGCAGATAGAAGTAAAATGGGAGAGATAGGAATGCCCGGAGATAGAGAAATAGAGAAAAATAAGGCCTCCCCTCAACATGGCAATGAGAGAGCTTGGATTCGGTCTGCCTGATTAGGGAGGTGGTGAGCACCTGCGGGCGGCTAGCAGCTTATGCGCCGCAGGTCACCGAAGACAGGCACGAATTAACATCAATAAGTCTCCCCACAACACCGCAATGAGAAGGCTTGGGTTCGGTTTGCCTGATTGTTAGGGCTTGTAAGTACCTGCAGGTAGTTCTAGCAGAGCAGAGCATGCGCTGCAGGGCACCGAACACAGGCACGCATCAGCGCCTAAAAACCTCCTCACAACATGGCGAAGAGAGGACCCAGAATCGGTTTGCCTGATTGGTAGGGCTTGTAAGCACCTGTGGGCAACTCTAGCAAGCAGAGCAGAGTGTGTGCCGCGGGGCACCAAAGACAGGCGCGTATCAATGCCAAAAAATAAAAAGAAAGGGGGATCTGTGGGGAGCAACTCAGACTAGACTAAGTTACTGGAATTAGGACTTATTCTATGCATCTGCTCTCCCACAATATGGCACTGAGAAGGGAGAAACAGCTTCTACACAGCTGCCTCCAGTTCAACCAATAAACTGTAGGACCTACTCCTGATTGGAGGAGAGCAGCGTACTCAGCGTGTGGGTAGCAGAGTTGGGATTGGTGGAAGAGGACTATAAAGGAGGAGAGAGACAACATGCACCAGGAACATCTAAGGGGAACATCTATCTGAAGGAACACCTGTGCAGCCCCCGAGACAGCCGGCCGGCGGTGTGCTGCTCCCCCGCGGAAGTGGGGAAAGTGGCCAGGGGGAACCGCCCTTCCACGGAGGTGGAAGGGACAGTAGCCAACCCGGGAAGAAACAGCAGCAAACCCGGGGAGGGCCGAGCAGACAAAAGAACAGCGCAGGGTCCTGTGTCGTTCCTCCACGAAGACGGGGACCGACACCCCTGCACTTGCGTGGGAGACCCAGAGGAAGTTCCTGGCTCTGGCTGTTGTGGCCAATTGGGGAGTGAACCATAGGATGAAAGACTCACTCTCTCTCTCTGCCTCTCCTCTTTCTGCGTAACTCTGACTTTCAAGTAAAATAAATAAATCTTTTTAAAAAATAAAATTGGAATATTTCAAGCATTACAGAACTGAATGATTTAGCATTTCTAGTCTTCTAAATAATGCCAAGTAATGCTTCTGCAATACTGTCGGGACCAAGCCACTCCACAAGGGGGCAGATTTGTCCCTAGGTAAGAGCCACTGGAACTTGCTCTTCACTGTTGTACTTCAAGTGTGTAGAAGAGTGCTTGGCATATGCCAGGCACACAACATGTATGACTCCTGGATGAAGACAGGTGATAGGAAGGAAAGAAGAGGGGAGTGAGGAACGGAGAGAGGAAAGAAAAGAAAATCTGTTTTAGTTAATTATTCAAGGCATATTTAAAATAAATCCTTACTTGACAATATCATCAATGGGCAATTAAAATAGCTACATTTCACGATAAATTACATGAGTATGTTCAAAAATAAGCCAAAATGCGTTATTCAAAGTACTGAAAGTAATTTCATGCCCTTCTGAATATAGGTACAATATATAAAATAATAAGAGAATTTGCTTATACTTACTAAATCCCTGTGAATATAGCAGTTTTTCTCCAGATATTCCATCCCCTCACATACATCCTGGCACACGCTCAGTAGCATTTCCTTCCGAAGTTTTCCTTTTCTCTCCCTCAGGTAGTTAAGCAGGCAGCCATTTTCCATGAACTCTGTCACAATGTAGAGGGGCTTCTGCTGTGTACACACCCCATAAAGCTGAACGAGCCTTGAGTGTGATAATTTCCTGTTGGAGAAAAACATCTGCAAGTGAACAGAACTGTTTATGCATTGTAGAGTGTTTCAACACAACTGGTAATATTTGCCATTTATTTATCAGTTTCGTTATCAAGGTAAGATCAAAATCAGCCCGACCACAGAGAAAGTAGAGCAGCTCTCTTTCCACTTCGTGCACTGAGAAAGTGGGGTCAAGAGTTTAACTCGTGCTTCCAGAGTTCTTAAAGACACAGCATGTGATCGCGGGGACAATGTTCTCTTTGTCAGTTCTTGCTTTTCTCCTTTCCGTTTCGTAGGCCTTTTGCTTCCTTATTGTTCATTGCTCCTCCTTGCCCAGGTTGCACGGTCTTTCTCCTCCTTGAATCTCAGCCCTCCTAAGTGCACTGCTCAGACAAAAACTCTGGACCGACAATCAGCAGGAAAGGGTGACTGACGCATATAAAACTGAAAATTAAACACTAATGACTAAGGCCAACTTAAAAGGAAAATTGTAAATAAAGTTGGACTATGACTGATGAGCACTACGAGTGATGCTTACGTATTGCTCCGGGGGGGGGGGGCTCTGCACAGTAAAAATTATGTGGGTATTTGATTGTCATTTTCAAATAAATCCATATTCTAATGACTAGCAATATCAGCAAGAGTCACAATATAATATTTCTGCTCTTATAATTGTGTATGACAACCTGTAATGGACATTCTTTTGGTGCCAAATTTCAAAATGCAGTGATTTGTTAAAGTTTAATCAAAACAGCCAGAGAGTTTTATCAACCAATGCCTGATTGTGTTAAGGAAAAAGATAAAAAACATTTGCTTGAAGATTTCTTTTGTTTGGAAATTAAACTGCCTATTTTGATGTAATTTCAAAATAAAGAGCATATTAAATAAAATAAAAAATAAAGTTAGAGACTCAAAACTACTTGCCAGTATGATACCTTGTGCATTTAGCATCTCTCTCTCTCTCTCTGTCACTCTCACTCTCTCACACACACACACACACACACAGTCCTAGAACTGTGCCTGCTGAAACATATCCAGAGCTTTTTAGGCACCTAGAATTCAAAAGTTTATTGTTTCTTCTGGGACTATAGCCTTCAACCTCTAAAGCTCTTTTATGTCAACTAATAATCATGGAAAACAATTCTAATTAATGCTTGTAACTTTAGAAGATATATAAGAAGTTGACTCTGGGTTAACTAAAAGTACCTCAAAAAAGTTACTTCTTTTTATTTACAAACCTGAAATCAAAGATTCAGAAGACTATCCACCGTAAAACATATATGAGTGATTACTGACACATTATCATAAAATTAGTTTGTGAGAACACTCCAGTAAATGGGGTATAAATACATTTTTCTTCTGATTTGCATCTGAATTCATAAAGTGTACTTTCAGTTAAGAAAGAAAGTTTACTATGTGCAGGATAACGGCAGGAAAGCAAGTCTAAAATGGAATATTCATTTGCCATGAGAAATCCACCAAGCTGATCCCCACATGGAAGCACTTGAAACTGAACAATATGCTACATTTGCTTAGCAAGATCACTTGCAAAAATCCGTCAGAAAGAAGGCAAACTGCCATCAGAAATGAGGGGAAAAGACAAATAAATCCTGAGTGTGTGGTATTTCCCATGGGCATTTACAAACTTGAAATCAAATTACGTTCCTGTTTGCAATAAGTTTGGAACCTCTTAATACACATTAGCTCTCAGTTTAGGGAAGTATTTATGGTTCCTCACGGGGCAAACATGTCACGTGTACGTTTTAAGTTTGTTATTTGCAAAGTTTCAGACCCTTGACAGTGTTCTCCTCTTCCCTTTTTCCAATTATTGTCTTTCCCTAGGTAATCGTATTGAGTTCCAAGGTCTTAAATATCGTGTCCAGTGCTCCCTCCCTGACCCTTGACCTTTCTTCTCACTTCCAGACATATGCTTAGCTGAGCAGTCGGTCACCCCTGGGTAGCTAACAAGCCTCTCAAATTCAACACATCCACAGCAGAAGTCTTGATCCCTCCCGACTCGGTCGCACAACTTCATTCTTCCCTCATTTCAGTACACGCAGGGGCAACCTCTGATGGTGCCCACGAAACCCTGGCATCATCTCTGCTCCCCCAGTTTCCTCCCATCATCTGCCACATGCAATCTATCAGCAAGTCTCCATAACTTCATCCCAAAAACGCGTCCTGGGACGACTGTTTCCATCCCCGCCCTCATGCCACCTGCCATCAGCTTCCTCCTGGACCCCTGCAGTAACTTACAACCTACTCTCCCACAAACTCCACAGGGAAGCCGGAGTGAGGTACAAAACACAAACCAGAGCAGACCCTTCCCGTCGTCCCCGACTGCCCAATCTGAGCGCTCAGCCCACCCCTGGCTCTCACGGCATCATTTCGTAGTCGCAGCCTTACCTCTCCTTCTTGCACTGCTCACTAGAACATATGCACAAGTAAGCTCCTTACCTGTCCTGTGTGTCACCATCTTTCCTGTACTTAGAACACTGCCTGGCACACAGTCAGCCATCAACAGTTGTTGAATAAAACTGAGAGATGTCATTGGTACTGGATTTTGTTTAACAAAGCTGTTAGCAATGCTATGAAACCACCATGAAATACATTATCTCTTTTTTATAATTTTTTAAGATTTAATGATTTTTAACATTTTGCCATTAAGTTCCTATGTAGATATTTTATACATACTTATTCTATTTTTTCTTGAAAACAGGGATATTAATATCACAAAATATGGGATTCGTGATAATGATCATAACAGGGAAAGAAGGATTTACTGTAGTGCATAGGGTATAATTCAGTGAAGCAATATTTATAACTACATATCAAATAACATCGCATCCACACAATTTTTATACTCTATATATCAACTTGCACAAATAAGAGGAAACATTTTCTTTCTGGGTCTGGTTTACTTCTCTTAGCATAATGACCTCCAATTTCATCCTTTTTTGTTTTTTGAAATGTCATGATTTCCCTTTTTGTGGCAAATGTTCCATTGTATATATGTACATCACATTTTCTTTATCCAGCCTTGGTTGATGGGCATCTAGGTAGCATCCATATCTTTGCTATTATGAATCGGGCTGCTATACATACAGGAGTGCAGGTATCTCCTGGATGTGCTGACTTCACTTCCAAGGAGAGGGATGGCTGGGTCATATGGTGGATCCACTTTCAGCTTTCTGAGGAATCGTCATACTGTTTTCCATAATGCTTCTACTAATTTGCATTCCCACCAACAATATACTAGGGTACGCTTTCCTGTCCGCCACTAATTTAAGATAACTGCGCTGGATTAAGTTATTCCACTCTAGGTCATGTTCGGGTTCCACTTTCACTCCTCAACATTCACACGTTTTTCACAGGCTTCTTCTCCTATTAGTTCACCTAGTCCTGAAGTCATCTTGCTCAGTCAACCATCCTCATAACAGGATTTGTTGACGAGTCCTGGGTCCTCTGCAAGGCTTCATGAGTTCAGTTACTCCTCCTGCTAGAGGAGAATAGAGTTCACAAGCAGCTTCCACACTCTTTATTTATTTATTTATCTTTATTTATTTATTTTTGGACAGGCAGAGTGGACAGTGAGAGTGAGAGAGAGAGAGAGAGAAAGGTCTTCCTTTGCCGTTGGTTCACCCTCCAATGGCCGCCGTGGCCGGCGCACCGCGCTGATCCGAAGGCAGGAGCCAGCTGCTTCTCCTGGTCTCCCCATGGGGTGCAGGGCCCAAGCACCTGGGCCATCCTCCACTGCACTCCCGGGCCACAGCAGAGAGCTGGCCTGGAAGAGGGGCAACCGGGCCAGAATCCGGCGCCCCGACCGGGACTAGAACCCGGTGTGCTGACGCCGCAAGGCGGAGGATTAGCCTAGTGAGCCGCGGCGCCGGCCCAACTTCCACACTTTCTAAAGGCACCAAACTCATCTTGTTTTATCAATTTTGTCCCAACTTCAGGCAGACTACAGTAGACAACATCTCTCAGAGCTTCCTGCGCAAAATTGCTGGTTCCCACTGCTCCAATGCCATGTTCTGCTGCTACCTGTTCACGCTTCTCTGTGAATTTATGCATGGAGAGCAGAGCAGCTCCCATGTGCAGCGCATGACGGTGCCCGCTCCCAGTCGCCAGGGCAGAGGCAGGCAGGGAGCAGCTGGCACTGAGACCCGCAGCAGGCTGCAGGCCGGGCCCGCACGCTCCGTGCCATGTTTGCAGGTGCCAAGGGTCGCCAGGCTGCGACTGGGCTACCTGACAGGCAGGAAAGACTGGGCAGGGTGTTGCCCATTTCTTAAATAGATTGTTTTGTTGTTGTTGAGTTTCTTAAGCTCCTTATATATTCTGAATATTAATCCTTTATCAGATACATACTGTGCAAATGTTTTCTCTCCCATTCTGTGGGAAATAAATTATTTCTAATCCAAGAAATTATTCATGGATATATTGCAAGAGCTTACAATGCAATTTGCATTTATGATTTAATATAGACAGGCATTCAGAGGCAGGCTCTGTCTTTGTCCATCTGTTGCCTGTTGGATGTTCTGACCATTCCCTGTGAAATCCTCCATCCAGCAGAGGTGCTACTCACCACCTGCCACCCACCACCACCACCACCACCCGCCACTCACCACGCCTGAGAGTAGACGGAGTTCCTAGAATTTTTCCTTTCCTCTCACTCCTAAGTCCTTCTTTTTTGACCGCTATACTTTTCCAAACTCTGTATTCATTTACCTTCTTGAATTTTGATTTTTAAAGTCAGCCTTGTAGTGAGGATTTAATAGTATTATATAAAAGATCTGATTGAAAAAATGCTAAAAGGGAAATGGCAGTGTCATGAAAGAAAATGGGTAAAATTTCTCCTTTTCTCTATTTTCCAAAAGTTCTATTTTTAAAGGTATTTTGAGTAAGATTTCATTTATTATTAAAATATTGTTAAAAGTAACTTGACTTTAAATTATAGAAATTATTTTATTTTAGTAATAAGGGCTAAGAGTCCAGCTAAAGCCCTTATTAACTAATTCATTACCCCCTGGAGGTAAACACATAGGGAAGAGGAGAGAGAAGGACAAGGGTATTTTCAGTTTTTACTTTATTCCATTCGGCATAATATGATATAAAAATATTAAAGACGTCTATCACAAAAACTAAAATATTTAATTGTAGACATGATGATGTAGATAAAATGAGATATACATGAAAAAGCTCTTAGAGAATTAAATGTACTGTACATGTTTCTTTTATTTTAAATATTAGTAGTTCACATATCACCATAAAGGTCAGTCCAAAGACACCCTATATCCAAAGACACAAACCCCTCATTCAGTAACTAAAAGGGCTTGGTAAAGGCAATGCAATATTACAATAATTGATACAAAGTACACTACTCCTAATCATAAGAGCTGAGCTCAAGTAGTTGTTTTAGCTCCTACTGGTTGCATGACCAGAAGCTACTTATCTGAACATTCTAAGTGTCAATTTCTTCCATGTGTGAAATGGAGATAATACAACCTGGCCTTCTTCCAGTGAATATTAACTGAAATCATGCATGTGCACATATTATGAAAAGTATAAGCCAAGGTGAGAATGCAGAGAGAAAACTTCAAAGTTTAATCAGATTTTCTGGGCTGAAGTCACCTAAGAGAAACACACGGATTTTCTGTCATTCTTCTAAATAATCTCGCAGGTGCTCTGAAACCCATGAGAACAGGCCCCGGGGGCGGGGGGGGGCCTGCATCCTGCAATACAGGGAGGAAGAGCACAGTCGATTGCTGAAGACTTTCTTCTGCACTGGAAAACCACAAAGGAGGGCAACCATTCCAGCTGACAGGTGTGGCGACAGCTGTCAGATCTGGCATATATTAGCTGCCCAAGAAGAGTTTGGTAATTTTATATCATAAAATTATATCATATATTATATCATAAAATTAGAGATTTGTGCCCGACAGGTCACAGTTCTGATTTCCTTTTTTTTAAGATTTTATTTATTTATTTGAAAGTCAGAGTTACACAGAGAGAAGAAAGGCAGAGAGAGAGAGAGGACTTCCTTCCGTTGGTTCACTCCCCAATTGGCCGCACTGCGCTGATCCGAAGCCAGGAGCCAGGTGCCTATCCTGGTCTCCCATGGGGTGCAGGGCCCAAGCACTTGGGCCATCCTCCACTGCACTCCCGGGCCACAGCAGAGAGCTGGCCTGGAAGAGGGGCAACCAGGACAGAATCCAGCGCCCCGACCAGGACTAGAACCCATGTGCCGGCACCGCAGGCAGAGGATTAGCCTAGTGAGCCACAGCGCTGGCCTACAGGGATTCTAACACGGCTTTAACTCTCCCTGAATCACACGTCTCCCATTCATTATTTTCTTACTATGCTATATTTAATCCAATACATAGGACTACTATGTTTGTCCTTTAGATATAGGAAAACCATGATGATATGCAGATGGGAGCAAAGTCCAGACAGATGGGTGCTTGGTTTATCCAGGGACATAAACACATCATCGGGAAGATGTCCCTGGAAAATTGTGTTTGGCCTAATACCCCGCAGAGTATGTTCTATTGTAAGTGGGTGGAAAGGATTTTTTTAAGAAAGCTTTTATTTAATAAATTTCATAGGCACAGCTTTTGGAATATAGCGGTTCTTTCCCCATTCCTGCCCTCCCACCCTGACGCCCATCCCTCCTCCTACTCCCTCTCCCATCCCATTCTTCATTAAGATTCATTTTTAATTATCTTTATATACAGAAGACCGACTCTACACTAAGTAAAGATTTCAACAGTTTGCACCCACACAGATACACAAAGCATTAAGTACTGTTTGAAGACTAATTTTACCGTTAATTCACATAGTAAAACACATTAAGGACAGAGGTCCTACATGGGGAGCAAGTGCACAGTGACTCCTGTTGTTGGTTTAACAATGACACTCTTATTTATGACATCAGTGATCACCAGAGGCTCTTGTCATGAGCTGTCAAGTCTATGGGAGCCTTTTGAGTCCACCAACTCCAACATTATTTAGACAGGGCCATAAGCAAAGTGGAAGTTCTTTCCTCCCTTCAGAGAAAGGTACCTCCTTCTTCGATGGTCCCTTCTTGAAAATGATAGTTCAATTGGTTATTTGGGTATGGGTTGAGAGTCCCAAGAGATATCACTGGTCTGTTTTTAAAGAGAATGGGTAATCGCGTCTGTCATTTGTTTTGTCTTTTGCTTTGTTTTGTTCTTCTCTAATGGAGATCTGCAACTAAAGTTCCCTGGACAATAGAGAACTAGGGAACACCACCTGCAGGTGTTTCTCCTCTAAGTAAATGCTGACTAAATCTTTAAAGGATGTGGCTTTCAACTGTGCCAAATTATTGGCTGGTCCCATCGATGCCAAGTTATAGTCATATAACAGCTATGGGTCCAGAGAGTCAAAATGCTATCCCAGCAAAATCGCAGAAGGGCAGTGTCCAGTGATCTACAAGGAGCCACTTCTTTTGAAACTCTGGATTCCTAAATTCTTTGAAAGCAAAAGCTGTGTTCTTATAAAAACATGACATTCTTTTGGCCACTGGGGGATGCCCTTTCAAATAATGAGCAACATACTTGGTATTATCATCTGGACAAAAACAATGTGTTTGCTTCTGGGAAAAGGAAAAAAAATGAAAATAAAGAGCACTTACTAGACACCTATTATTGAGCTGAAAAGAATAAACTTGCTTGACATTTTCACAGATTATCTCATTTAATTTGCACACTGATCCAATGAGGTAGGTACTGATATCCCCATTTTGTAAAGAGAAAACTGAGGCTTAGAAATGTAAAACAACTCACCCAGGTCACACAGAAGTCAAATGATTTGCCTGGATGACATAACTAGCTTGGATACAAATCCAGGTGCGGCTGACTCCAAAATCCATGTTCTCACCACACTACCAGGATGCCTCAGGAAGTTTGCCTGGGTGTTGTTTACACTTACGTCATCACTTTTGCCTCTTCGATGAAATCCTCTTCAGACATGGAGCCTTCGTTGATAGCTTTGATGGCCACCTGGATGTGTGCTCGCCATTTACCTAGATGGACTACCCCGAACTGACCGCTTCCAATCTTTTTGACGAAAGCCAATTCAGATGGATCTATCTCCCACTTTTCTAGAAAAGCAAACATCCATGTTACAATTGGTAAAAAAAAAAAAAAAAAAAAAAAACTAGGAAGATGAAAACTGGAAAAAATTAGAAATTATATATCCTTATTTCACATAGGGGTTAAAAAATGTATAAATGAAATGATTGGAAAAGATTAATACTATTTTAACATTCTAATTATAGCTTCAATCTGTAATTCCGGAATTCAAGTTTTGAAACACAAACTTTACTTACTTGAAGAACATATGACTTATTTATTTATTTATTTTACAGGCAGAGTGGACAGTGAGAGAGAGAGAGACAGAGAGAAAGGTCTTCCTTTGCCGTTGGTTCACCCTCCAATGGCCGCTGTGGCCGGCGCGCTGCGGCTGGCGCACCACGCTTATCTGATGTCAGGAGCCAGGTACTTATCCTGGTCTCCCATGGGGTGCAGGACCCAAGCACTTGGGCCATCCTCCACTGCACTCCCGGGCCACAGCAGAGAGCTGGTCTGGAAGAGGGGCAACCGGAACAGAATCCAGCGCCCTGACTGGGACTAGAACCCGGTGTGCCGGCGCTGCAAGGCGGAGGATTAGCCTAGTGAGCCCTGGCACCGGCCCATATGACAAATTATGAATAACAGAATACATTCTCTTCTAAGATACCTATGATGAGGCTCTCTAAACTAAATCTACCAAAACTACGAAGACATGGAACCTAAAATATGTATGTCTCCAATCTGTTTTTGTCCTGGTGGGCAAACCTGCAATATTCCCTTGCCTTGTTTTGACTTCTTCTATTCTCCCTCTAACCCTTAAGGCTTTTCTGCCTTGGTGCAGCCTCTCCTTAGGGAAAAGTCTAATTCATTCATCTAATAAACATGTTCGAGGTTAGAATTCTAACAGATATCTAAAGGAATATTTGAAGTGAAATTTGTTAACATATATTACTCTTAAAAAGCAAATCAGAAAAAAAGAACTCTTCTTAAAACAACCTTCTTGAAAACTCTAAGGACCAAATCTTAATGGATTAGCCTGTCCTCTTCCTATATGAACAGCCACTGGGACTTTTAGAATAAAGTAAACTGAGAATAGGTCTTTGTAAAAATTAAGAGAGGGAATAGGAGAGGGAGGAGGAAAAAGGGTTGGAGCATAAGTGTAGCATGGTGTCACTGTATTCCTAAATCTGTATATATGAAATGCATGAAATCTGTATACCTTAAATAAAATTTTTAATAATAATGTATTTAAAAGAACTGTGAAGCCAATAGCTCCTTGTACCAACTGTGCAAAGTATTTAAAAGCAACATGGGAGAATATATTTATAATTTTGGAATTGGTATAAATTTATTCAACGGAATATACCATAAAGGAAAATATTGGTAAATTGTATTTAACAATTTTATCTTTTTATCAAAAGAACCCCATTAAAAGAAAGAAAAAGTAAGACATGCATAGGGAAAAGATATTTCTAAGACATATGATGAGCAAAACATTTCTATTCAGAATATGAATAAGCCAATTAGAAAAGACACGTATGCTTTTTTGATATGAAAATGTTGAACAGAATATGCTATCAGAAAAGAAACTCTCCAAATAGCAAGTAAGCCTATGAAAAGTGGATTAAAATAGTCATCTGTGAAGTGCAAATCTAAACCATTATGAGAAAATATTTTTTAAAGATTTATTTATCTATTTGAAAGGCAGAGTTACAAAGAGGCAGAGGCAGAAAGAGAGAGAGAGAGATCTTCTATCGGCTGGTTCACTCCCCAAATGGCTGCAACAGCCAGAGCTGCGCTAATCTGAAGCCAGGAGCCAGGAGCTTCTTCCAGGTCTCCCAACGTGGGCGCAGGGGCCCAAGCACTTGGACCATATTCTACTGCTTTCCAAGGCCATACATAGCAGAGAACTGGATCGGAAGTGGAGCAGCCAGGACTCTAACTGGTGCCCATATGGGATGCTGGCACTGCAGGTGGTGGATTTACCTGCTATGCCACAGCACCAGCCCCAAGAAAATATTTTTTTAAAAACCAAAATACTAAATACTGGCAAGAGCAAAAGTATGAAATGGAGCAAATGGAATCTTATGCATTGTTGATGGGTATGTAATTTGGTACAAGCTTTTTGGAAAACTGATCTGATCTATTAAATCTGAGCATGTGCAAACCTGATGAGCCAGCAATTCTACCCGTAAGTGTAAATCTATGATATGCGGGAAAATAAATGGACACCTAAATTCACCAAAGGACACATAGGAATGTTCATAATGATATTATTTGTAAGAGCCCAAAACCGTTAACAATCCAATGATCAGCTAAAGAAGCATGGGGAAATCAGTTATGGGAAAGTCATGTGACTTTCACACCACAACAGAAGTGAGCAAGCCACACTCTGCACCGTGAATGAAATTCTCAGAATAATGAGGACAGGAAGAAGCCAGACTCTGAAGAGTGTGCCAGGTCTGATTCCATTCATAGATCAGTCAAAACCAGGCAAAACAAATCAAGTTGTAGACTTACGAACTGTGTACTGTTGTGTATGTTAAAGTTGGTAAATCTACTTTTAAGAAATTAAAGATAACCATGTATAACTTAAATAAATTGCTAGCGGTGGGCCTTTTTATTACATATGATATCTATGGGACAAAGGGATGATCTACACATCCATTACACCCTGAAATCATGTAAGCCAATGAGACTGAATCTTGGTCACTTGTCACACAGATAATTTATTACCCTTTTTCTTCAGCATATACTGAGTCCCACTAATGAGAGCTGTTTAAGGAAATAACATGACACCAAGTTAGAAAATCGATTCTTTCAACTCGCAGTTTTGCAAAACCACATTTGTGTAGGATGTGGTTTGGATGAAACACTGTGCAAGTTTACTTGGAAAAAGAAAAAGGTGAAAAGGTTCCTTTTAGCAGTTCTTTTCAGTAGACTCTCTTGGCAAGCCATCATCGCCCAGCCACCCTTGTGGCCAGAAAGCAACACCACAAACATCCAAATAAAAAGAATTGCAATTTATGAAAAGGGTTCAGAATAAGGCTGATAATAAATAGGGAAATTTGAAATAAAACTGAAATGTTTCTTCTAAGACTGAAACTGCCCTTATGAAATGCATCTGTTTAGGCATCAACGATGGGGATTTAAACTTTGAAAAGAAATGTATCTAGAGATAGACATTTCCAAAGGGCTGAAAAGTTAAACAATCTTTAGGGAACTTAGGAAAATGCTTCTCTGGATCTGCGGGTTTCCTCAGTTGGGTGTGCACACCTTACCATAGCTAAAGCCAGCTGTGGCCGGTAAACAGTTGTCCATCAGACCAACTGGGGAGCGGAGACGGGTCATGAGACCTGGGAAGAAAGAGAAATCAGTATTTCAAAGCTAGCTATTAATACAGGAGGAATAAACACATATACTAGAAGCTAGTACCATTCTTCAAATAATTAGACAAAATAATTTATTTTACAAGTTAGCCTATTTGCTCATTTTTCCCATTTGAAAACCATTGTTTTAGAAAAAATATAGGTTCATTGGACTCAATTTAAAGACTCTAAGAGAGTAGAAAGATGGCCAGAAGGATCTTTCATAAAATCTTAATATACAGAGATACTTTAAATGATGTGTTGGGGCCAACACTGTGGCACAGCAGGTAAACGCCGTGGCCTGAAGCACCAGCATCCCATATGGGCACTGGTTCTGGTCCCGGCTGCTCCTCTTCTGATCTAGCTCTCTGCTGTGGCCTGGGAAAGCAGAGGAAGTATAGTCCAAGTGCTTGGGCCCCTGCACCCATGTGGGAGACCCGGAGGAGGCTCCTGGCTCCTGGCTTTGGATCGGCTCTGGGGAGTGAACCAATGGATGGAAGACCGACCTCTCTCTGTTTCTACCTCTCTCTGTAACTCTGTCTTTCAAATAAATAAAATGAATCTTAAAAAAGTAAAATAAAATAAAGGGGCTGGTGCTGTGGCGTAACAGGTAAAGCTGCCGCCTGCAGTGCCAGCATCCCATATGGGTACCGGTTCAAGTCCCGGCTGTTCCATTTCTGATCCAGCTCTCTACTATGGCCTGGGAAATCAGTAGAAGATGGCCCAAGTCTTTGGGCCCCTGCACCCATTTGGGAGACCCAGAGGAAGCTCCTGGCTTCCAATCGGCACAGCTCCAGCCACTGCAGCCAATTGAGGAGTGAATCAGCAGATAGAAGACCTCTCTCTCTCTCTCTCTCTCTCTCTGCCTCTCCTTCTCTCTGTGTGTATCTCTGACTTTCAAATAAATTAATTAATTTTAAAGAATAATGTGGGGGAAGTGGGATTAAAAGAAAAATTAACTTTGGTGCACAAAAAAATAAAATTGATACATAGGATTTTTATAAACCACATTTTCCATAAACCATTACACATTGTGATCAGTTTGGTGAACATCTTTGCAAAAATCTCTACATGCATAATCAAAAGCATATGTGCACCCAATACACTTTACAAAAATGTAAATGTGTTCTTATAAGCTTTTTATGTGAAGCATGTCACTGATATATGTTAAGGACTTCAATAATTGAACTTAAGATTATTTCCAAGATTTTCCTATTATAAAGTATACTTTACATTCTTGACCATAACATTTGGGTGTACCTCGCAAATTCTCACTTTAAACTGATAGGCCTTAGGACAAGAAGACAGCTAGGCTGCTGTTGTTGGCAAGGGGCCATCTCACAAAGACCACAAGGAAGCTCCCTCCAGGCAGATGGAACAGCGTGCACAAAGGTTAGAAGACAGAAACAAGGTTGGCCGGTATAAGAAAAGAAGCACGTATTATATGCCTACTGTGTCTAAGACACTACTCCGGGTAAATCTCAAAGAGCTCAGCAGATCCAGGACTGGTCAGACAAGGCTGAGAGACAGAGGGCTCTGTCTCAATGAAGACAGGTAGAGAGGCCACTTCAATGGAAAGAAATAGGTGTGATGCTCTGGGACAGAAAGAGTACCTAACACACGGCTGAATCCAGTTTTCTGGCAGCTGCTATGAGTCTGACAGGTGGGGACAACCGAGGAGGGGAACGAGTGGAGGACATTCCAGGCAGAGGCGGGAGCATGAGCGGATACTGCGGCGTGGACAGCACAATGGTGGGTTCTTGAGCAGAACTCAGGAGGTAGCAGAGACAAGAAATCATCACTGAAAGACGGGCAGCATTCTGGTTACGACAGGCCCTGTAAGCCAGGCTAGGGAGCATTACTTTTTTTTTTTTTTTTTTTTTTTTTTTGACAGGCAGAGTGGACAGTGAGAGAGAGAGAGAGAGAGAAAGGTCTTCCTTCCATTGGTTCACCCCCAAAATGGCTGCTACAGCCAAGAGCCAGGTCTCCCATGCGGGTGCAGGGCCCAAGCACTTGGGCCATCCTCCACTGCACTCCCGGGCCACAGCAGAGAGCTGGACTGGAAGAAGGGCAACTGGGACGGAATCCGGTGCCCCAACCGGGACTAGAACCCCGGGATGCCGGCACCGCAGGAGGAGGATTAGCCTAGTGAGCCCGGCGCCAGCCGAGCATTACATCCTGCAGATGACCCAGACCTATTGAAAGATCCCAAAGAGGAGCTGACACAGTGGTGTAGCGGGCTAAGCCTCCACCCACAGTGCCGGCAACCCACAGGGGTGCTGGTTCATGTCCCGGCTGCTCCTCTGCTGGATCTGAAGAGGAGCAGCTGGGACATGAACCAGCTCTCTGCTAACGTACCTGGGAAAGCAGTGGAAGATGACCCAAGTGCTTGGGCCCCAGCTCCCAAGTGGGAGACCCAGAAGAAGCTCCTGGCTTCAGATAAAACCAGCTCCAGCCGTCGCAGCCATTGTGAACCAGTGGATGAAAGCCCTTTCTCTCTGTCTCTCCCTCTCTCTGCGACTCTGTCTCTCAAATAAATAAATACAATCTTAAAAAAAAAAAAAAGAAAGAAAGAAAGAAAAAAGAAAGAGAAAGAAAAAGAGAAGGAAGGATCTATAATAACTAATCTGAAGTTAGGTATTAAGTAGAACACAAGCATCTTTTTAACTTCAATACTTACTTTTATTTCAAAGGCAGAGAGATGGAGAGGGAGACAGAAACAGACATATTGAGATCATTCACCCGCTGTTTCACTCCCAATTGCCGGCTGAAACCAGGAGCCCGGAGCCCAGTCCAGGTCTCTCAGGTGGCTGGCAGGGACCCAAGTACTTGAGCTGTCACCTGCTGCCTCCCAGAGTGCTCAGCAGCAGACTGGAACAGAAGCACGGCCGAGACGGAAACCCTGGCTCCTCAACGTGGGATGCATGCGTTCCAAGCCTGGTCTTAACCTCTGTGCCTAAAGGTCTCTCCTCTGCCAGCTCTGAAGTTATTACTTGCGGAATGGTTCTTCTGGGACTTGAGGGACGTACGGCTGATGGCTTGGTGGTCTATTGCTCTCTGACAGAATGAAACCTGTCACTCTCTTTGCATTGCTCCTTTTTCTGGGAAGACAATGAATTACCATGTGCTAAACTGACCAGGGGTTAGAAAGGAGGCAGGATGGCCAGGATTCCAATTCGGTCTCAACACTGGACCCTCCAAATGTCCTCCCATGATGTGGGTAGCCTCTGCCTGACGGATATGGGACAGCTGAGCAGAGCCTCTGGAGCCAGTGGGTTCGAGGCCTGAGATTTCTGTGGGTTAAAGTCTCGCCATAGAAACCTATTAGCTGTGTGGTCTTGAGAACGTTACCTCCAGGTGTTTCCTCGTCTGTATCATGGAGACACGGACAGCTCCTACCTCATTGGATCATACTGGAGATTAAATAAATACACGTGAAAGCCCTCAGAATGGGGCCCGACCTAGAACATGTCTTTAACAGATGTCCGTTCTTTCTGGGTCCCTGCCTTCTCGTCTACCTTCCTTCTTTCGGATTTCTTTCCTACTCTCTTTTCTCTTTAACAAAACAGCCATGTGGTTCCACTTTTCCAATCCCTGGTTTTCAATATGTGCTTCATTGACCCAGTTTTCTCATTTCAAAATCATCTTTATGGTATTTAACCCATTATAAGGATAATTTATGGGCATTATAATTAAAAAATTCAAACCCTAAAGTGTCCCTTATCCCCAGCCTTGATCCACAAAGGTAAACACTAGCAGTTTACAGTCTACTATAACCATATTCACTTAAAAGTTACTAAACGTCAAGGCCAGCTCTGTGGCACAGCAGGTTAAGCCACTGTCTGCAGTGCCAGCATCCCACATGGGTGCCAGTTCAAGTCCTGGCTGCTCCACTTCTGACCCAGCTCCTAATGCATCTGCGAAAGCAGCAGAAGATGGCCCAAGTGCTTGGGCCCCTGCACCTTTGTGGAAGACCTGGAAGAAGCTCCTGGTCCCTCATCAGCCCAGCCCTGGCTGTTGCAGCCATTTGAAGAGTGAACCAGTGGATGGAAGACCCCCCCCCTCCCTCTCTCTCACTCTCTCTCTTTCTCTCTCCCTTTACCTATGTGTAACTTTATCTGCTTTTCAAATAAATAAGTCTTTTTAAAAAGTAATTGTTACATAGTTTTCCTGTGCACGCATAAGTATTTTTTTTATAAAAATGGGACTGTGATCTGACTTCTCTGTACTTTCTCCCTTTACTTAATAACTTCTCACTCATGTCTTTCATTGTCAGCACATTCTGATCCCTTTCTTTATTTCTTATCCTCACTATGTAACCGCTCTTTCTTGAATTTTTCTTTTAAAAAAAAAAGGTTTTATTTATTTATTTGAAGGTACAGTTAAATACAGTGAGAGGGAGAGACAAAGAGAAAGACCTCCATCCGCTGGTTAACTCTCCAAATGGCCAGAGTTAAGCTGATCTGAAGCCAGGAGCCAGGAGCTTCTTCTGGGTCTCCCACGTGGGAGCAGGGGCCCAAGGACTTGGGCCATCTTCCACTGCTTTTCCAGGCCACAGCAGAGAGCAAGATCAGAAGTGGAGCAGCCAGGACTTGAACCAGTGACCACATGGGATGCCAGCACTGCAGGTGGAGGATTATCCTACTATTCCACAGTGCCAGCCCCTTGAATTTTATCTTTGATGGAAGGAACAAGAGGAGTGGAGGAGAAAACAGAACTGACCACCTGCTTGGAGCTTTCTGTGTGCCCCCCCCATCCCACCCAGCCATTGTGCCCCCCCCCCACCAAACTCCCTGTGACCATCTGAGATATCCATGAGGACTCATCCCATAACTGGCTAGAAATTTCCTTGGAATTCTTCCTGATATTTAGAACTGGACAACCAGTGGCCTCTTTCCACAAGGGCTTTTTCTGCCAACACAGTTTTGCGTGAAAAAAAATTTATATATATATATATAAATTTATATATAATATATTTATATATTTTTATATATTTTTTATATATATATATATAAAATAAAACAAGAGGAAAAATTGCATTGGGTTCCCAATTCTGTAATGCTGAAGTAAGAAAAGTCCCCCTCCCCGCAGGTGCTCAGAGTGGTTCAACCAAGGTTGGGTGAGGGCTGAAGACCAGCGGTGTGGTTGTGATCACTGTGGAACTTCTGGGATCCTGAAACTTTCTGTAGAGCGAAAGAGCAATGATTGCAGACAACAGCTGGAGAAGAGAATGCCTCAGGAGTATTTAAGCCAAAATGTATCCGTGAGAGGCTGGTTTCTGTGTTTTCCAAACAAGAAAGGACAGAGAAAGACTTTAAGGCAATTTTCTATTGTGATTGCCTGAAACAGAGAATGGACTGAGTGGACAAACGCGGGAAGCATCAGTATTTCAGGTATGTGAAATCCCATTACATTTACCCCCAAGTCAAGAGCAAATGTGTAATGACCAAATGGCCTTTGAACTTCTGTCGGCTATCCTTTTTCTAACCTGGCAGAAAAATCAAGACTCGACCCATCTCTTCCCACTGCCTGCAAAAACAAAGGACCATCAAGAAGGGCAATTGCTCAGAACACAGATTGCAGTTTCTGCAGGGCCGTTAGCTCGCGTTGGGCGTCTATTACCCAAGATGCCTTGCCCATGCAGGGCGTGGCTCCCCTGCACGCCGCACCGGAAGTTCCTCGCTTACCCGCCGCGTTGTGCTGGTGGTACCGGATCAACTCGGGAATGGATGGGAAGAGGTGTCTTTCAGCCACGTACCACTGTCCCGAGTCATTCCTTTTGATCTGATAATGTTTTATCATAGCCTCCGTGCTTCTACAATCGATAAAACGTGAATTAGTAAACAAGCCGGAGATACCCCTCGGAAACCAAGACCATTCATCAAGCAACAGGTCCTTGCTGCGGAAACTCTCATCCCACAACACCACACACGAAGGGGGATTGATGTCCATCGACAGACGCCTCGCTGCCCCAGGGAAACCCCTCCACTGACTTTGTGTGCGCCGCCTGAGTCAATCTAACTTCAGCCAAAGTTATCTAGGTGACAAGTACAGTGTCCCAAAAAGTATGGCTCACGATGAACGTTTCGAAACATTTTTTTGAATATCAAGTACTGATTAAACAAAGAAGCCGAGGCACTGTGGGAGCTGGGAAATGGGAATGGTTGGAAAACCAACACAGGGTGCGCTAGTGCGCAGCTTATTCCACGGACGGCTGGGGTGAGAGGCTGGGAGACGCACCTCAGAAACTCAGAACTGACCCAGGGAAGCTTAAAGAACCACTCGTCACTGATGGAGGGCTGCTCCTGGGATGTTACCTCCCAGAGACTTGCGGCTCAGCTCGGGGCCCTGCAAGTTCCCCCAGCGGGAAAAGGTCCACGTCAGAAACCCCAGGAAGCTGTCTGAGCGCAGGCGGTCTCTCTGCAGGCCAACGCCACAGGAGTCCTAAGGAATCGGAGGAGACCACCAACACGGCCTCCTACAACCAGTCTGACCCCCTCCACTGAAGGTGGAGAAGGAGATGAGGAGGCTAAGTAATCATCCAGTGTCTCACACAGCCTGCCAGGGATACCACGTGGACGGGCCAGTGTTCTGACTTGCAGGCCAACAGTCATCTCCCTGTACCTGTACCAGGCCTCACTTACACTCTCCGTGTGATGCTGTCTCTATTTTTAAAACAAAACAAAAAGACCGCCCAGGGATTATTTTGATTTTTTAAAAAGATTTATTTATTTTGAAAGGCAGAGCCACAGAGGGACATAGAGGTAGAGAGCAAAGCCACCACCCGCAACACCCAGCATCCCAGATGGGTGCTGCTTCAGTCCCAGCTGCTCCACGTCCGATCCAGCTCCCTGCTAACAGCCTGAAAAGCAGCAGCAGACGACCCAAGTGTTTGGGTCTGTGCCCCCAACATGAGAGGCCCAGATGGAATTGCAGGCTCCTGGCTTCCGCCTGGCCCAGTCCTGGCCGTTATAACCATCTGAGGAGTGAACCAGTGGATGGAAAAGCAATCCCCCCCACCCGTAACTCTTTCAAAAAACATATATCTTTTAAAAATTATTTTATTATTTGGAAAGCAAAGTTACAGAGAGAGAGGGAGAGATAGCAGTTGGAAGACCTCTCCCCCGCCCCACGCCTCTCCCTCTGTAATTCTGATTTTCAAATAAATAAATAAATCTTTAAAAAAATTTAAAAAGACAGACGTCAAGTAATCAAAATCAAATTGCTTACCTCCTGGCTTTTATAAACACGGAAATTGTGTAGGATCCCAAATGTCTTGAGTCTCTGACAATAAATGTACCTTCTTTAGACTGCAAAACAATTCACTCATTGTACAAGTGTATTCCTTAGGAAGACAACCTGTATCTCAGTGACGAAAACAAAAGCTATACCAACTTACTATAAGTGACTTACTGTCGTCTTACAATAAATAATGAGATTATTTTTACAAGTACACATGATCTTTTTAAATTGACACATAAAAGTTACACATATTTCCAGGTACAGTGTGATATTTCAATACCTACAACACCATGTGGTCATCAGCTCAGTGTAACTGGCATATCCATCACATTGTACATTTGTCAGTTCTTCATATTGGGAACAAACAAGATCTTCTCTAAGAGCTATTTTGAAATGTACAATTAATTGCTGTCAATCATAGTTACCCTACTGACAAAAGTACTTGCTTTTCTCAATAGGTGTTCAACCCACCTGCAATTATTTTTGCTTGAGGTAGGGACTCATTATAATTTTCCTATATAAATAATTGGCATATAGGTTCTAGAACAAATTGGTCCTCAAACCTCAGTGATTTGTAGTGCCTGGAAATGCTTCTCTAAATTAACACATCTGGTGTAACCAACAGGGGAGCCTTTTTTTTTTTTAATAAAATAAGGGGATTCTGAAGTTGATATGGACAAAAAATATCAGCATATTTATGAAAAAGAGGCTGACCATGTCAGAGATAAACTCAGTATTCAAGAAGAGCGTAGTGGGGCTGGTGCTGTGACATAGTAGGTAAAACTGTTGTCTGCAGTGCCGGCATCCCACATGGGCACTGGTTCGAGTCCCGGCTGCTCCACTTCCGTTCCAGCTCTCTGCTATCACCTGGGAAAGCAGTGGAAAATGTCCCAAGTCCTTGGGTCTCTGCACCAGCATAGGAAACCTGGAGGAGGCTTCTGGCACCTGACTTCAGATTGACAAAGCTCTGGGTGATGCGGCCATCTGGGGAGTAAACCAGTGGATGGAAGACCTCTTTCTCTCTGCCTCTCTGTAACTCTGCCTTTCAAATAAATAAATAATCTTATCAAACATATTAAAAAGAAAAGGAAATTAAATCAGTTATCTAATACCTATCTTTTTTAGGATCAGCATGTTCAGACTATTTTACAAGAAAGATAAACCTAAGCATTAAGGAGTAGATAACTTTCACCCAATATAAACCACTACAGAGACTGGAAAAAGAGACAAAGCCCCATCCCCCACCTCATTTTATGATGATGGTTTAACTTTTATGCTAAATCTAGACAAAGATGATCAAAAATTACAAGCCAGGCTTACTTTAAAAAAAAGATTTTTTAAAAATTTATTTGAAAGGCAGAATTAGAGAGGGGCAGAAGCAGAGAGAGAGAGCGCGCGTGCTCTTCTAACTGCTGGTTCACTCCCCAGATGGCCGCAATGGCCAGAGCTGTGCTGATCCAAAGCCAGGAGTCAGGAGCTTCTTCCAGGTCTCCCATGTGGGTACAGAGGCCCAAGGACCTGGGCCATCTGCTACTGCTTTCCCAGGCCATAGCACAGAGCTGGATTGGAAGTGGAGCAGCTGGGACTCGAACCAGTGCCCATATGGGATGCCAGCACTGCAGGCAGTGGCCTTACCTGCTACACTACAGCACCGGCCCCCTCCTGGCCCACTTTTGAACACAAAAAATACTAAATAAAATATTTAAAGAGTCTAACCAAAATTTAAATATCTCCTAAGCAAATAGGATTTAACCCAAACTTATTTTAAAAAATAGAAGTTGCAGAGGCAGGCGTTGTGGTACAGTGCATTAAGAAAAATGAGCAAAGGGCACGTCCCAGAAGGGGGAGCCCACATGGCCAAAAGAAACACGAGAAGTTGCTCAGCTGCACTGGTAATCAAGGAGATCCACGACTTTTAAAATACATACAATTTCTCAGCCAATGAATTGAGGGAAAAGTGTGAAACAACTAAGAGTAGGGAACTAGTCTATCTTATTCCTTGTCACAGTGTAAATCGGCACAACTACTTTGAATCATTGAAAATATCAGTGATGCTAAATCTGCACATCACCTGTGAGCAAATAATTCAATTTTGTCCTCTTGGACAAGACAACATTTACAAGGCTGTTTATTGCAGCATTGTTTGTGATGGTAACATGTCGCGAACAATTTAAATGCTTTTCAACACTCAATTCATTTTTATAGACTCTCTGGATTTCCTCAACATCTAGTTGAAGTGCATCATGACACAGTACCTCTTGCCTAGTTTCTCAGTTTGACTCTGCCTTTACTCCCCTCTATATTTACTGACAGTTGGAAATTTAAACTGTATGCACTTTTGTTTTGGTTTGACCTAAATGAGCAGTTTTGATCTGAGTTTGCTATTTTGACCATCCTGCTCTCCCCTTTGTTTCCAAAGAACAAAGAAACTGCAGCTCCGTGCATTTTTCTGTACTTGTGTTTTTAACGAGTGTATGTCTGGGGCCTTTGAAGCAAAGGTTATGCAGACAACCCAAACATGGGCTGTCCCAGCAGGACGCACTCTGCTGTGGGGGAAGCACTCTCAGCTTGTTGGCACTGAAATCATTTCAGGAGAAGCATCATTTCTGAAATTATGAAGAAAGATAACAGAAAACATGATTTGTTACAGATGTATCAGACTTACAACTTATCAGAATATGTTCAGCAGGGATGGAGTTTTAATAGTATTTTAGGACCAGAAAGAACAGGAAGCAATCTACCTGTTCAGTGGGTTAAAGGCTTTGAAATGTGCCCCTCTCTCTAAGAAACTTTGAAAATATTCACTGACTGTCCATGAACACAGTGTTACCTCTTGTCTCAGCAGGCGCTCTGCTTGGTTTCTGGTAATGTTTCTATGGTACCACCTGCAAAAGCAATAGAGATTTTTTTTAAAATTTCATATGTAATGCTTTCAGAACAAAGACCTGCTCCATTTCCCTCACTTTTCAGAACTTACTTCCGAACTGATCTTTGAAATTCAGTGACTTTTTCTTTTTAGATTCAAATAAGCAGTAAGGTACTATCATTGGTCAATAAAGCTTAATGCAAAGTTATTCATTTCAAGCCAATATCTAGTGGATTCCTTCATATCTTAATTCAACTTTCTGTTACACATTTGGCATGCAGTTTTGAATTATTTAATGTGCTATGAAATTCCCTAAAAGGTATATAGTTAGGAAGTCACCACGTTCATCAGTTTCCTTTGGAAAGCAAACCACAAAACAGCCATTTCTTTCCTCTCAGGAACTTCCTATAACAGGCTTTGACATGTGCTATGCCAACCTTTACAGAACTAAAATGGGTTCTGCCTTCTCTCACATTCCTAAGCACATTTACCTCCTGGCAGCGTTTGAGTAGAATTTGTAGCTAGCAGAGTACATGGACCACCCAGTATATGATCCTGCCCCAACACCCTGCCCTGCCCCTCTCTCCCTCCTCACCCTCCCCTCATTCACTGCACTTCAGCCACAATGGGCTGCCTCCCTTCCTCAAACTCACCAACTCTCTGCATGAAACATGTCAGTACACTAGGCTATCAGAACCACACACACAGTAAAGGTAGTTAAAAAATAGTCTAAGTTAAACAAGTGGTTTGATATAGCAACACGTAGTCCATAGGCACCTGTTGTACAGGAAAGGGACAAGGAAATGGTAGGAAAAAAAGAAAGAACAATTGAAAAGCATTTACTCAAAATGAGATTTTAAAAACAGATTTTAAATGTATTCTAATATTACCAGAAATATGTTTTTGTGGCCAGCGGAAGGAAGGAAGCACGCATGCCTAACCACACCGTCTGTCGCTGTGGGTGCATACATGTCCGCCAATTGGAACACCTACGCTTCACTTAAGGAAGGAACCCACCTCATCGTGTGGGCTTCCCCTAACTCCTAGGAGTCAAAAGACGCCACTCAATTATAGCAGTCAAGCTGAAAAAGAACTTTAGAAGAACCACAGAGGCTACAGAATGATTACAGACGATTCTAGACAAGGTAATCGGATCACTCATCACTCACTGCTCTTTTGGGAACAACAACGAGAGGACCTCAAAACACTCATGGAAAATGGAGTTACAAGAACACAGAAAAATCAGAATTTTATTTCTCAACGTAACCTCCATCAACTGCAAGACACTTTTGTAGGTGACGCTACCATGCGTCTGGTCAAGTCCGAAAATAATTGAGGGTCCTGGGAACTTAAAGATGCCAGCGCAGCCTCGTTCACGTTAACAGAAGAAAAATGGGTGACTTTCAAAGGTTGGGTTTTTTAAATTGGGAAACAAAAAGTCAGAAGGAGCTGAATCAGGACTCGAGTGTAGATGCCTCATATCTTCTCCTAGGAACCCTCGGGAAATCGCCCTCGTTGGACAAGAGGGACGAGCGGGAGCAAATGCTGGGGGGCAGGAACACTCCCTGGTGGTGATTTCCTGGTACTTGCTCACTGAAACCTTGGCTGACTTTCACAAAACACTCTCATTAAAAAATAACTGGGTTTTTTCACCGTCCCCCCAGGAAGTTAGCGGCGAGATGCCTTGCTCTAGCTCAGTCTGCTTTCTGTGGCTGGGTCCCTTCCATTCGCAGTGGCCATTATTTTGATTGTTCTAAGTCTTCAGGGTCAGAGGGCTAAGCCACATTTCACTTCCTATTCTAATGCTTCAAAGAAATGCTTTAGAATCGCTCCTATTTGTTTAAATTTTCCATTGGAAGCTTGCTCTTGTCTGCAGCTGATCTGAGCGGGACAGTTTAGGCAGCCAGCCAGCAGAGAGTGTGCTCCCTTCAGTTTTGCAATATGAACTACGAGCTGAACCAGTTCAGATGTGTTTGGTGTTGGTTATGGAGTCTACTGATCATTATCACTTCTCTTCGATTAAGGCACAAATAAGATTAATTTTTTCTCACAAACTGATATAGATGGTCTATCACTGTGGGCTTTATCTGCAACCTCATCTTGTTCTTTCCTTTTTCTCTTTGCAAAGATTTATTTGTTTAAGAGAGAGAGAGAGAGAGAGAGAGAAAGAATTTGGTTCATGCCCCAAATGGCTGCAATGGCTGGGGCTTAGCCAGACTGAAGCCAGGAGCCTGGAACTCCATCCAGGTCTCCCATGTGGGTGGCAGGGCCCCAAGCACTTGGGCCATCTCCCACTGCTTTCCCAAGCCATTAACAGGGAAGCTGGATCAGAATTGGAGCAGCAGGGACATGAACCTGTGCCCATAAGGGATGCTGGAGTCATAGCCAGCAACCTTACCCACTATCCTATCTTGTCCTATCTTAAAACAAGTTACCAATTTATAAAATGCTGATTTCCTTGGACCAGTGTCCTCACAAACTTTCTGTAAAACATCAATGATTTCACCATTTCTCCACCCAAGCTTCCACCATCAACTTCATGTTTGTTCTTTAATTTTAGCAGAACACATCTTGCTCTGCTAGGAGCTCTCTTCAAACTTTTGTCTGATCTTTTTAGTGCCTCAAACTAGATCCCGTTCGGGCATGTTTACAAGAAGTGAACATTAAGATATGTCAACACAAAAAAAGTTTTGAAATTCATGCCTAGTTTTTTCATAATGTTCATTTTCCACAAACCTTTTGAAGACCGCCCCCCAAATAATGTTACACTGTGAACACCAATCAGCACTTTGTAATGAATATTAATAGTGGAGAAAAGCACCTCAAGATGATTCTGACATGTCTCAAAGCAAGAGGAAATCATTTTAAAACAAACGAGGTAGTGTTGGAAGCACAGAACAGGCTGACAGGGGTTGGTTTTACAGCTGGTCAACTTGTAATATTTGGATATTAAGAGTAAACAAATAATAATAGTTCACTAAATGACTTGAATCTGTGAGAATCCAAGACTTCATAAGGATACTCAAAACAGGAAAAAGCTAACGTAAGTTGTGTTTTTTGTTAACTCTGTTGCTGTGAAGTCATTTATGATAATGATAAATAAGTAAATACGTTAATTCTGCTTAAATATACATTAACAGTCTATCCATATGCATACATTATTATAACAACTTCAGAGCAGTAACCAAAGAATCAGATATAAGTATTTCACAAATTCATCTCTTTTTAAAATAATGCAGAATTCTACTAGGCAGGCAAGAGACTGAAGGAATGCAATTTAGGGACAGTTGGGAGCATATTTTAGAATCTCAGCTATGCAAATCACATGATAAAAGCTGGAAGAGCTTTTTTTTTTTTTTTAACATTTTATTCATGTGAAAGGCAGAGTTAGAGAGATCTTCCATCCACGGGTTCACTCCCCAAATGGCTACAACAGCCAGGGCTGGATCAGGCCAAAGCCAGGAGCCAGGGGCCTCACCCAAGTCTCCTGTGCTGCACATGCCCAAGCCCTTGGGCCATCTTCTGCCACTTTTCCCCGGCACATTAGCAAGGAGCTGGATTGGAATTGGAGCAGCCAGGACTTGAACTGGCACCCAAATGGGATGCCGGCATGGCAGGTGGCAGCTTAACCTGATTTGCCACAACAACGGCCCCTGGAAGAGTTTCTAGGTGTTTGTTTGTTCTTAAGGATTTATTTATTTAAGTAGAGTTACAGAGGGATAGACAGAGATCTTCCATCTGCTGGCTCACTCCTCAAATGGCCACAACAACCAGGGCTGGTCCAGACAGAAGCCAGGAGCTTCTGGGTCTTCCACACAGGGGTCCAAGAACTTGGGCCATTTTCCACTGCTATCCCAGGCCATTAGAAGAGATCTGAATTGAAGTGGAGCAGCTGGGACTTGAACCAGTGCCCATGTGGGATGCCGGCACTGTAGCCTGGAGCTTTACCCTCTCAGCCACAGCACTGGGCCCTCTTTGCTTGTTTTAAAGATTTATTTACTTGAAAGGCAGAGTTACAGAGAGGCAGAGGCACAGAGAGAGAGAGAGAGAAAGGAAGAGAGGGAGAGAGAGGGAGGGAAGGAGCGAGGGAGAGAGGTCTTTCATCCGCTGGTTCACTCCCCAGATGGCCACAAATGGCTGGAACTGCACCAATCTGAGGGCAGGAGCCAGGAGCTTCCTCGGGTGGCCCATGCAGGTTCAGGGGCCAAGGACTGGGGCCATCTTCTACTGCTTTCCCAGGCCATAGCAAAGAGCTGGATCAAAAGTGGAGCAGTCGATTTGAAATAGGACCCATATGGGATGCCAGCACTGCAGGTAGTGGCTTTACTTGCTATTCCACAGCGCTGGCCACAGGTCCTGTTTGTTTTTAATAGCTAGGTCTGTACTTCTGAAACCTACACAACACTAACTAAAGCTAATGGCAAATCCTGTGGACACAGGAGGGGGATGGGACCTACTTTTTTACTTTTTAAATTCAGCATATCCAGCTATAGTTCAGTAGAAATATGTTACATATTTGTGTGTGTGTGTGTGTGTGTATGCACTTCTTGGGTCTGATGCCTAATCTTTCTGATCAATAAATAACAACACTGTTTTGGATTTTTTACCTAGAACCTTGATTAGATCTGAGAAAGTGAATCTATTTCCTTTAGTGACTTTTTAACCCTGAGAAGATCAAAGATCCAGTGCAGAGACGATGAGATCATTAACCCATCCTTCTGCAAAGTTCAGGACAATCAATATGTTTATTTAAAGTATCTATAGGTTTAAGAGATTTTTTTTACTCTGATTTAACATGCTTTTTTGAAACTTGTTGGATGAAGCCAAAGAGAACTTAACTAATTTTCTAAATGAAATTTATATTGTAAGAGAACTTGATTTCTCACATTTATGAGTTTAATTTATTAAATTTCCAGGATCATGAAAAGACTTACAGAGGGCTTATTAGAATTGTAGATTTGCCCTATCAGGAATGTGAAGTACTTAAAAAGTTAATTGAATGTATTCCGTTAATGAATGCAGATGAAATGTTTCAGGAAATTTAATTAACTGAGCTTATAAATAGGGATATTTGTTTAAGGACATTTAGTAGGTTAAGTTTGAATTAAGGTGCTTGTTTGCATTTATTTAGACTTACAATATCAAGATTTACAAGTTGAATGTGAGGACTTACTGAAAACTAGGTTTCTACTTGTTCTGTTGGGGATGTCTATTTCCATTAAAAGCATGGTAGCCACAAACCTTCCCATGGTCAAAGCCCCCCACCCCCCAGACCCAGCAGCCCACACTGAGAGAGCACACCTCCCCCAGTGCCCTCTGAGTGTCTCTCCCAGCCCTGAGACTTCAAGTCACTCCCTTGGAAACCCTTCCCCAGCCCAACATCTGCTCCATCTAAGCCACATCCCCGTCACCCTGTTTTCTCCCATGATGTTCCAGACTGCTGCTTGATAACACCATAATACAGAATTCTGTAAGACAAATAGAAGTTGACCAAATAAAGTGATTCAAAGGGCTGAAGTAACTAAAGAATGCTGTACCCCTATAATTCAAGGCAGGCTGGGTCAGACTGTAAATGTCTCTTTTGTTAGTTTAATATTTCGTAGAAGTAATAATAATTGCTAGAGTATATTGAATATATGCTGTATAAGATAGGTATTTATTGTCTCCACTGTTCAGATAATTCAGAGGTTTGGAAATATTAGGTAACTTTGTCCAGAACCAACACACTAGCAAGAGGTGAGGCAGACAAAGCTACTCCCACTTCTAAGCTCACATTTCAACCTCAGGCAGTTATTTTCTGTAGTCACTACAATAATGTTTAGCACATACCGATAAATTCTAGTGATTGATAATAATCACTATATCTCCATTTTACTAAATTTTTTTAAAGAAAAAATTAATGTTCCCATAAATGGATTTATCAAAAAGAATGATTTTTAAAAAGACACATAAATCAAGGTCCAAGGAAATAAAACAGCAACTCCAACCTCGGAGTATTATAATTCAAATGACCCTGTGTCAGGGCCAGCGCCACGGCTCACTAGGCTAATCTTCTGCCTGTGGCGCCGGCACCCCAGGTTCTAGTCCCAATTGGGGTGCTGGATTCTGTCCCGGTTGCCCCTCTTCCAGTCCAGCTCTCTGCTGTGGCCCAGGAAGGCAGTGGAGGATGGCCCAAATCCTTGGGCCCTGCACCCTCATGGGAGACCAGGAGAGGCACCTGGCTCATGACTTCAGATCAGCGCAGCGCTGGCAGTGGTGGCCATTTGGGGGGTGAACCAACGTAAGGAAGACCTTTCTCTCTCTCTCTCTCTCACTGTCTAACTCTGCCTGTCAGAAAAAAAAAAAAAAAATGACCCCATGTCCACAAGCCTCCTGAACAGAGAAAGCAATGAGCAGATTACTTACTAAGCTGGTAACACTGCTTGGTGGTGAGTGTCCATTCACCAACCACCAGGCACTGTGTTAGCCACTCTCATGTGTGTCCCCTTTAATACCCTACAAAATTCAAACTGTGCTACTGATATGAAAAAAGTCTTACTTTTCTAACCTTTCTTGGCAGGAGATTTCCATATAAAATCTCTGACCTGGTCTTCCAAGAGATCTTTTTCCAGTTGAGCTGCTTCACCTGGGGTGACAGTGCGGCTCCCCCTCCCGGGTGGGGGCAGGGAGCATAATTGAGTAACAATAGCAGGTGGTTGCAGAACTGTTGAGAGTGGGTCCAGCCCCTGAACGCTATAGGGCTGAAATCAATAGAGTGGGCATGGCACGTTAAGTGAGGCAGGGAGAAGACAAGACCCCCAGATGGAGCCAAGGGTAGTGAGTTGGAAGAAAGAACACAAACAGCAAATGGAGAAATCTGGAAATGTGAAGATGATGTATCACGTGACCTGTGGGCGTCGTCTTCTCTGCTCCCGAAAGACCACTTGATTCACCAAAGCTCTGGAACCTGGACTTGTTTTAAGAAGGGGTGCACTGAGTCTGGCCTCTGGGTGGGCTTAAATTAGTAACAAGGTCAACCAAGGAGGTTCTCATTCGATCTCTGCTGCCTGGTTCTCAGAAAAGCACTCAATGCCTCAACTTGCATCGTCTACTGCCACCTGCTGGAAGAATATGCTAATCACAAAACATGTGTCCGGGGATGGGGTCACATACTCAAACTGAAACACCTGACTTCATTACAAAAATAGGATTCGTCTCAGCTTTGCCACTCTCTGCCCATAAATCAATCCATCATCCTTAGTTACTTATCTATATACTAAGGGGATGAAAAGTGATGAGCTGCTCCTTTCAAGTCCACAACTGTAACAAAAAGAGGTTTCAAGCAGAGCCCTAGTGAACCTGTCTCAAGTTCTTCCAAGCTACAGCACTGGCCTCGCTTCTTATCTACAGCTATTTCTAAAATAAGTAAAAATATTAGTCAAAATATAGTAGTTTGCCTATATTGTACATCCAATTTGTTACTCATTAAAACTTTAACATCATTATTTTAAATTAAGCTTTCCATGTAGGACATAGAGGAAGACACCAGTGCCAGATGAGTGGTTGGCTTCACTCTGTCACTGTTGAAAAAAAAACAGTGGCTGTACAGAACAAAACAGGAATAGGTTGAAGAAGTTTCTGAGTCAACCAAAAGGATCAAAGATCTTGATCCCTGAAGGTGCCAAGTGTGTTACTTTCTGTTCCTCTCAAAACCAAAAACAGCATCGATACGTGTGTGCAGCCAAAATGTGCTGGCGTTCACAGGTTAACCATAGCGAGTGCTTTGGAGGAGACTTACTCATAGATTTCTAAGTTGGTTGGTTTGTTTTCAGTCACGTAGTTGCTAGGGATAAAGCCTTCGTTCCTACAACAAAAAGAACAAAGCAAAAATCAAAATACTTGGAACGTTTAGGGCATTATCGTGACAATCTTTTTCATCCTAAAGGATATAAAAGGAAATCAAATCCATTTTACTGATTTAATTGTTAGAAGAAAATAAAACCTCTGTGCAACAAATACTTATCTACTGACTTAATCATGTACTTTAAGAGGTTCTAGGACTCCTGAAAGATTTCCAAGAGGCAAAGTAGCTCTTAAATGATCATTTGGTGTCACGGTGGCTAGCTTAGAAAAACAGCTTCATTCTTTCTCATTGCTGCAGAGTAGTCCATATTGTCAACTAGATCATCTAGTTAAGCCACTCCCTATCGCAAGCAATGCTATTCAGAAGTCGTTGCCTATGCCTTCTTGCGCACATGTCAGAATGGTTCTCGACGGCAGATACCAAGCAAGGAAACTGCCACGTCGTTGAACACGTGCACTGTCGGTAGACACAGCAAATTGCCCTGAAGGACGATACACCAGCTTACACACCTAGGACCAGGCCAGGGTGCTCTCAGTCACTGCCACCTCCCCACATCTGGAAATACAGGAAGATCTCCAAGACTTGTTATTGAGGGAAGAAAGGAAGTGGCAGAACAATGTACAAAATGTGATTACAACTTAGGTAAATTAAATCCATAATACCATATATTTCAATATGGGCATGTCAATACATTTTTGCAAATTATCTGGAAGTGGACCCACTAAGTGGATAATGGTGTTCACATCTGGAGAAAAGGCTGTAGGTAAAAGCAGAATTTGGGCATGATTGGGCATGACTTGCCAATTGTTTTCAAAAACCATTCACTTATTGTTAACTGAGATCAAAACTAAATACTGCATTTCTTTTAGAATCCAAAGCATGCCAATAGCCAGCATGCCAGTTACAGTCCTGAAACTACTATGCCTTTTAGTTTTTTAGATTTATTTATTTAAAAAGCAGAGTTACAGAGAGGAAGTCTACAGCCACACCACCCTGAATACGCCCGATCTTGCCAGATCTCAGAAGCTGAGCAGGGTAGGGCCTGGTTACTGTTTGGATGGGATAGAGAGAGACCTTCCATCTGCTGGCTAACTCCCCACATGGCTGCAATGGCTGGGGCTGGGCCAAGATGAATCCGGAAACCAGGAGCTTCTTTCGGACTCCCATGTGGCTGGCAAGGGCCCAAGCACTTGGGCCATCCTCCGCTGCTTTCCCAGGCACATCTGCAGGGAGCTGGCTCAGAAGTGGAGCAGCCAAGACACAATCAGCACCCACAGGGGATGCCAGCATTGCACACAGCGACTTGACCCTGCACGCCACAGCACCAGGCCCTGTTAATGCCTCCTTTTCCACGGAAAAGTCTCCATCATGTGTCGAGCCCAATCTAAGTCTTAAGAAAGCCAAACAAGGAGAGAATTTAATTCAGAACAGATTTGGTATTTTTAGATGCACCTAATACTCTGTACTTACAACCTCCAAATGTTGGCAAATATCAAAGTGCAATGCCAGCATTCTCTCCAAGGTCCCAGACAGCCCTCAACCCAGGACTCCTGACATCTGGAATCTGCTGGAACTGACCCCATGAAATCTATTCGCATCCCAGGGCCTTTTTCCTTTCCAATTTATTTTTGCAGCCACTGCACTGTTTGCTTCCAAAGTTAGTTCTTGTAAAAATATATATGTGTAAAAGTAAATCAGACACTTCCAGCCTAACAAGAAAAAAAGGCAAATTGGGGATGCTTTTCCGGCACAGCAGGTTAAAGCCGCTGCCTGCAATGCTGGCACCCAACGTCAGATCACCAGTCAGAGCTGCTGCTGCTCTGCTTCTGATCCAGCTCCACACTAACAGCGTGGGAAAGCAGAAGATTGTCCCAGTGCTTGGGCCTCTGCCACCCACGTGGACAACCCAGAAGAAGCTCCAGACTCCTGGCTTCAGCCTGGCACAGTCCTGACTGTTGCAGCCATTTGGGAAGTGAACTAGTGGATCGAAGCGCTCCCTCCCTCCCTCCTTCCTTCTCTCCCCACTCCCCCTTTCAATAAATACAAAAAGGAAAAAAAAAAAAAAAGACAAATTATCCAGTACAAATCAAAATAAGAACATCTATGGCAGAAATGATTCCCATTTTACAAACAAGTGAAAACAGAGAGCAAGCGAGCGACTTTCCCAGGGACACACAGTAGGGACAGGAGGTGACGCCAGGTGGATCTGTTTTAGGGACGCCCGAACCCCCTGGGCACTCTTGTTCTCTTTGGCAAAGGGGGTAGTGTGGGGAACCCGCAGCAGATGAGCCGCCCGACAGTCTTCTCTGTGTCTGGACGTCTTCAGACGCTGCAGCAGGAACGTGTTAAGGACGCGGTCACATTGTCTTACCCTAAAGAGTCCCTCGCTTTCCACCAGTGACGGTCGTACTTCTCCAGGATCAGGTATTCGTGTGCTCTCTTCAATGCCAGGTTACAAGGCTCTCTGGGCAGAAAATCGTAAAGTGCCTTGACTCGGATCCGCTCCTCAGCAAGCTCAGAGGGTGGCAGCGGAGGAAGCGGCTTGCGCTTGGATGGCTGGGTCCGGTCCCTGCTGGACTGTGCAAACCAAGGAGGGAGTTGTTTTACTATTGTCTTGCTCATGCGTACTGAGAAAGAATCCTGGAGGTAGCCAGTTCACCTGCTGCCTCACTTCTGCCCTGCAGCGCCCCCAGGCGGAAGCCAGGATAAATGCAGGGAACGACTAACTAAACCAGCTCCCGGAGATCACCAGTTTTCTGGCTAACCTTGAAGTTTTTCATGTCTCGAGTCTTAAAATATGATTTACTCTTCGTTTCGCTAGCAGGATTTTTCCCTCTCGGGAGAAGAAACACAGCCCTTGGTGTTCAGGCGCTGGGAGGCTGTGCTTGTGTTACTGCTACTCTCACTTCCTGAGAACTCTGTCCAAGCGCTCACGGGCCAAACATGAATCCCGACCTCAAAGTGGCAGTAGCCGGGAAACCACTTTTCCCATTCATTGCTTCAAGTTCTATCTTTAAATACAGCAGAGTAAGTTACTGACTGGTGGGACTGGTGGGTTTTTTTCCTTTCACTTTCTCCTCGGGCATTCATTCATGGTTTATTGAGCACGTATTATGTGCCACCCATAATGTTGGGTTCTGGACACGGCAACAAACAGGACATCATGGAGCACAGACCCTAAAACACCACGCTCCTGGGTCCCCGGTGCCCCCCCCCCCCAGCCTTCCCCAGCCCCAGGTGAAATGAGACTCACTTGATGCTTCCTTGACCACTCGCTGAGCCAGGGCCTGCGGTGCGGAGCGTACTTTTCTGAAAGGTCTTCATCTTTGCTCAAGCTGATTTGTGTTCGCACTTGACTGACATTGAAAAGCAAATGGTCATAAACAAGTCTATCAAATGTATCTACCACTTCCCTGGTTATAACAAAACTAGTAGGAAAATCGAGGTCTCTTTCCACCTGCTTCTTTTAATTAGCAGATCTCCCAACTCCATCTCCTTGGGAAAATTATTAACTCAGAATCGGATATTTCCCATCCAGAAATTAGAAATGCTAAGAGGACCTAGGGTTGTTAGGACATAAAAACCAAGAAAACATGTCACATGCTTGATACAGTGTCTGGTCCATATTAAGGGCATAAAATTATAATCATGATCATGGAAAGTTACTCTGTGTCTGATAGTGCATATCACTGTACGTGCACTACCTTATCATAAACAGACATAGGATAATGGTTAATACTGTGAGTTTCAATACCAGTTCCACCATTTCATGGTGTGGCCTTGAGTCAACAACTTAACCTCTCTAAGTCTCAATTTTCTCACCTGTAATGCGGGGATTTTAAAAACCTCCGTGCTTTTAAGAGTTACGTGAGCTCATAGACATAAACATCTTGACATCATGCCTGCATACGGGATACGCCTACCTCATGATAACTGTTCCCAGGAACATGGTGCCTTGGATGCGATTCCTACTTTTGCTGGGAACCCATGTTTAAGATACACTGCTAGTTTTAAGTAGATACTCAGATAACTAAGAGAGGATCCTTCACCCTTTGCAGTGCAGAATAGAACACAGACGTATAAAGACACACGTGCAATAAATATTAAGTTGAGAACCAAGGTGCACGCTGTGGGAACGCAACAGAAGAAACTAAAATCTAATAGCATCAAGTACGGATCAGAGTTGACCTGGGCCTTTAAATGAAGGGGCATTCAGCAAAGACAAAATGAGAGACGCGCTCCCAGACAGAACAGTAGTGAGGAAGAGACACGGAAACTCAGCAGGTAACACAGAAACTGTGAACGAGTTCATTTCCCAGAAGCAGCCCTGCGAGTAGACTTACCGTTTCTGCACGGAACAGCAACAGCAGCAACAGAAAATGGACTGGATGGAATTATCTGAAAAACAGATCATTCTCACCAGTTAGAAAGCCATGCCTCTGCGATGTCGGACGCACAGGACTGGGGGTGCTGGATGGGGAGGGAGAAGAACTAGTGTAACATGGATGTCCTGACTGCTGTCACTTGTGAAAGATAAAAAGTGTCACCAGAGGGGAAAAAAAATCAGTCATTGGCACCCTGGCCACTGTGGTTTCCCTTCTCAGGCTCCCTCCCCTGGCCTGCTCTGTGCATTTCCTCAGTCTCTGCACGAGAAGTGACCAATGTCTTCTACTTGACCTTCGACAGGCCTGACACTGGTTAACTAACAAGTGTCCAAAAGAATAGGATTCCTAAAAACAATGTTCTCCTAGGAAATCTGTTGGCAGGGACTTGAATAAGGTCCATCTCAGTTCTTTTATTTTTTTGAAGATCTATTTTTATTTATTTGAAAGGCAGAGTTAGAGAGAGAGAGAGAATGAGAGAGATCTTCTATCTGCTGCTTCACTCCCCAAATGGCTGCAACAGCTGGGGCTATGCCAGGCCGAAGCCAGGAGCCTGGAGCTTATATCAGGTCTCCTACGTGGGTGCGGGGCCCAAGCACTTGGGTCGTCCTCCCCTGCTTTCCCAGGCACATTAGCAGGGAGCTGGATCAGAAACATCACATTTCTTTAAAAAGTTTTATTAAATAGGCCTTCAAGTTTTCTACGAAGTAAGTCCAGCTATAAACTGAATTGGCTTACTTCTCCAATGCCCACAACAGCCTGGGTCAGGCTGGTCTGGGCCCAAGCTGGGAGCTGAGATGCAATGCAGGGCTTCCAGTGAGCTACCTGCTGCCTCCCAGGGCACACACTAGCCGGGAGCCGCAGGCAGGACCTCAGCGTCCAGCCCAGGTACTCTGACGTTTGTCAGCCTGCGGGTGTGAACCTCAGTGAGGCCCAATGCTGGCCCCTAAACAGAATATACAGAGAACTGGCTACGGAATCCAGGTCATGCTTACGCTTTCATTGTCATGGTTTTCCTTCCTAAAGACCATAAAGAACTGTCAAAAGAATGTTTAATTTTCATAGAAGCTGTATTTCACGATCACCTTGTACTCGCATATGGACATCTGAAAATAAAGGGTGATTAAGGCCGTGGAGCGCATTAGAGATGAACGGTAGCTTTGAGGTTGGGCAGACCTGGGATTTGATCCTAGCCCTGTGAATGACTATATTTTGGATAAGTCCCTTTATTTCTCCCAGTCTTCATTTTTCCATGCATAGCACTGGGATTAAACAATCCCTACCGCCCCTGAGAAGCCTTATAGGGCAGAGGTCGTCTCCAACTTAGTGACTGCGTAAACTTGGAGAAGCTAGCGAACTGCCTCAGACTTCAGTTTCCTCATCCGTAAAATGAGGATCGCAGGACACTCACCACTTACACGACCACGAGGACTGAATCTATGAACGCAAAGCACCCAGAACAACCCCAGGTTTGCAGTCAGAGGCCAATCAAGAACACTGCATTAGCTGGGTAGGTGTGAAAATTAAATTAGATATACTCTTTAAGTTCTCTGGAACATATTATCAATCAGGAACCCAACAAGAGCCAAAGGTGGGGCCAGCGCTGTGGTGTAGTAGGCTAAGCCTCTGCCTGAAGTACTGGCATCTCATGTGGGCACCGGTTCATGTTCTGGCTACTTCTCTTCCTATCCAGCTCTCTGCTATGGCCTGGGAAAGCAGTAGAAGATGGCCCAAGAGCTTGGACCCCTGCTGCTGTATGGGCAACCAAGAAGAAGCTCCTGGCTCCTGGCTTTGGATCAGCCCAGCTCCGACCGTTGTGGCCATCTGGGGAGTGAAGCAGTGGATGGAAGACCTTTCTTTCAGTTTCTCCCTCTCTCTGTCTGTAACTCTACCTCTCAAATAAATAAATAAATAAAATCTTTTTTTAAAAAAAAGAATCAAAGACATGCTCAGAGTGGGGTAAACTGAGAAGGGCTTTGTACAAGGGGAAGTCATTACAGAGATGCAGGCAGAGCATAGCAAAACCGCAAGCACAGTGCAGGAACCCAGGGCAGGGCAGGGCCCGTGCCCCCTGAAAGTGAGAAGTCCTGAGGGGAGGGGAGGGGAGGGGAGGGAACTGGAGCCTGGAAGGAGAGAGTGCAGTGCACTGGTCTGTCAAGGAACGCAGATGGCCCAAGGAGACTTCACAGGGGGCAAATCAGAAGCATAAACACCCTTGTCTCACTCTCCCACCAGGGCCTCCGCCAGCCAAGCCCAATCAGAAGCCAGATGCCCAGAGGCAGTCCGCGGGCTGCAGAAAGAGCTGGGGTCTCCCGGACACCTTCAGCACAGTCCACCCTCAGCAGCCCTCTTGCCCTTCATTTGTCCCCAAAACGGGGGACACATCGAGTCCCATCAACCCCTCTATTAACACCTGACACCTGGTACATGAACTCCCCTCCGAATTCTGTAAGTAACAGAGATGGAAACAAGCAGAAAGTTGACATAAAACAGCTGCTACAGTTCCCGCCTCTGCAGTTCTCTGCCACCATCCACTCCATGACGCCCCTTGTCTCTGCCAACACTTTGGCCAAAGGAGGTGCTTTATCCGGTGGGACAGCTCAGATATTCTCTCCTGTGGGAACTGAGTGCTTGGTCTTGACTGGTGGGGTTGCTACAGTATTCCTTTGGTCAGGACGATTTGCTGATGTCATGAAATAAAGCTAGCGCATTCCCTGAGTTACAAAGTCCTCTTTGGCCTCGTTGTGAAGCGCTGACCCAGTTCCCTCCTGCTACTTAGGGCAATCATCCTAGCTACACTGACCCCTCAGTGCCTGCTGGTTCTGTGGCACATCAGGTGAAGCCACGGGTTGGGAGTCCTGCATCCTGTATCTGGCGTGCCTGGCATTGAGTCCCACCTCTGCTTCTGATCCAGCTCCCTGCTAATGCACATCCTGAGAGGTGGCAGATGATGGCTCAAGTTCTTGGGTCCCTTCCACTGACGTGGGAGAGACAGATGAAGTCCTTGGCTTCAGCATGATACAGCCCTGGTGGTGGGCCTTTGGAGCATAAGCCAGAAGATGTAAGATATCTCTCTCTCTCTTTCATCTGTGCTTCACTCTGCCTTTCAAATAAATATAAATACAAAATAATAAACTATTAAGAAAAAAGTAATCCAAAAATGACCAGAGAGAGGGCAGTCCCAACTTAGAATGTTCCCTACAGAAAGGGTTCTGCTCTTCAGCAGTGGAACCTTCAAACCCAAGGTCACAGGGGCAAGAAAACAGAATGCCAGTTGGGTATCAGATGAAATAATGAGAGGGGTCACTCGAACCCCCACTGCTTGTCCCCAGACTCATGTATCCTGGCTATGGACAAATAGCATCTTGCTGCTGGTGTTAGATGTATGTTGCATCCTATATGGCACCACCTGAACGTGGCATGGTACTGTCTTCTGGATGTGCTAGTTACTGAGCCCCTAGCAGGCCATGCTATTCCATCAAGTAAACTGCCTTTGAATCATGGAGCACACAGTAAGGTGTCCAGGGAGCAAACACCAGTAAGACTAAGAAAAGGCTAACCCCAGAGTGGATTCCCTTGTCAACCTCTGGTTATATCTTCCCATTCTTTTTTCCAGGAGTTTCATACACATTCCTTTCCCACAGATCTCCTTGCCATCAGTGCCTCAATCCAGTTCTTTCCAAGTTCCCAGTTTGCAGGTCAACTTGTTTGCCATTGCCCTTGACTCATAATGCCTCCTATTATCTTTTTCTAAAGCAGTTGACAAGGTGACGTACTTCCTGAAGTTCTAGAGGGACTTCCAACATCTCTCAGACTACCTCTGAAGGGGACTGGAGTGCGATGGCTGTTGGTGTGCACTCACCATGCAGATTTATCTGTTACCCGGGCCTGAGCTTTTTCCTCCATTAGCTGACGGGGAGCTACCCATGAAGCCACTGGCGTGGGTTAAGGGAGAAGCAAAAGAGCAAGCACCATGTAACTAACTCTCCTGCTCATGCAACTTTCTCGAGCCCACAGGGTTTGCTGGGGGCCAACTTTCATACATAACACTTCCGTATGTTGATGGATAACTGCTATGCATGCCCAATTTCACAGTTCATGGGATCAGATAACACTGAGCTCACGGTAGGCAATTTGGATCACATAAATATTTGATGCTCCACGATCAAGCATTCAGACTTCTCCCACAGCAAGCCAGGAACTGGCACTGAAATAGAAAATAGCTATCAGCACAAGGTCAAGGCATTACTCCAACTTCCTGGAAGTCTGTGCTGCGGTCTCGGACTGAGACCTTCCAGAAGCTCCAGCCAGCCAGCTTCTCACCTTCCCTTTGCACAGCCTCCCAGGCAACATCAATGGTGATCTGAGTCATGGATAATTGAATCAAGTTCCCAGCCAAGAGGTTATCCCTGAACTTCTAAAGATATGATCAGATAAATCCCAGGTCATTTTGAATCTGTTTTTCTAAGCCATTTCTGATACTAATGACTACATATGTGATTCCAATAGGACTAATTCATATAATTCTTTTTTTTTTTTAAGATTTATTTACTTATTTGAAAGTCAGAGTTACACAGAGAGAAGAGGAGGCAGAGAGAGAGTGAGAGTGAGAGTGAGAGAGAGAGAGAGAGAGAGAGAGAGAGAGAGAGAGGTCTTCCATCCACTGGTTCACTCCCCAATTGACTGCAATGGCCGGAGCTGTGCCAATCCGAAGCCAGGAGCCAGGAGCTTCTTCCAGTCTCCCACACGGGTGCAGAGGCCCAAGGACTTGGGCCATCTTCTACTGCTTTCCCAGGCCATAGCAGAGAACTGGAATGGAAGTGGAACACCCGGGACTCAAACCAGGTGCTTTACCCGCTATACCACAACACCAGCCCCTCATATAATTCTTTAAAGATTTATTTATTTATTTATTTGAAAGGCAGGGGAGAGAGAGAGAGATTGATTGATTGATTTTGTCCGCCTGATGGTTCACTCTCCAAATGACTACAATGGCTGGAGCTGGGTTAGGCTGAA